AGTGTCCGTTCGTGGATGGACTTGAGAGCCAGCGCCTTGCCGGGCGGAAGGAGGAAGTGCCTTATTTTTCTAGCGAGGTTCCAGGGGGGAGGAGGAGGAGGAGGAGGAGGAGGAGGAGGAGGAGGAGGAGGAGGAGGCGGAGGAGGCGGAGGAGGCGGAGGAGGCGGAGGAGGCGGCGGCGGCGGAGGAGGCGGCGGCGGCGGCGGCTGAGGAGGAGGAGGAGGTGGAGGCGGAGGAGGAGGTGGAGGCGGAGGCGGAGGAGGAGGAGAAGGAAGAGGAGGAGGAGGAGGAGGAGGAGGAGGAGGAGGAGGAGGAGGAGTGTACATCTGATCAGGTATCGTCTCCTGACCAGGCTAGGAGGCGGCGACCATCGAAATCTGTGCTCACGAAATGTTGGTTGAGGTTCGGCGGTGGTAGATACGCTCCTTACTGGCGTGGCCTCCGACATCCCGCCACCGTGCCTGCGTCGTGGACCTCTTGGAGGCCTCGTGGGAGCATCTTAGAGGGAGCATCTCGGTGGCTCCGGCCCCAGAGCTTTCCCCAGGACCAGTTCTTCATCCCTAACTGTTTGTTCACAGTCATTGAGCTCATGTAGGGTCCCAGGGGCCCGCTGGTTTTGATGTTCGCGTAATTCTGCAACGGCCTGTCCAAAGCCATTCAGAAATATTAAGGGCATTCGGGCCGCGACTCTAGAAGTCACTCAAATTACAGATGCAAGGTCTACACGATGACCTGTCAAGGTCCATAGGAGTCGTTGGTTGTACCAGCCACGCGCATGCGCCCGAGCGCTCGGGGACAACTACGGGGGCACTTTGCAGCCTTGTCAGGCGGGAGGGAGGGGCCCTCACTCGTGCTTCTGTGGGCTCAGGAGGCCTCCAGTGCCCTTCGTGCTGCTTCTATCTGGACCGTGCTGTACCGTCTTGAGGCCCCTCGGTGCTGAGTGGGAGCCTGGATGCCGGTCGGGGCCTTCCTTCTCCGGGCTCGATTGGCGTGGATTTGAGGGGGGGGCCATTGCAGGGCGGAGGAGGAGCTCCGCCCCCCCCCAAGCCGCCCGAAGGGCAAAGGCCGCGTGACGCTGATGTGCACCGACCCGGTGAGGATCGGGCCAGCCCAGTCGAGAGGGGAGGGGTTGTCAGAGAGCAGGCGGGGGAGGAGAAGGAATGCAGGCAGAGGTAGGTGGAGCACGAGGAGGTGTGCGTGCGTGTGTGCTCCCAGCCCGCGCGGCGCCTGCTCCTTGCAGCCGCCTGGTCCGCCCACCCCCCCAGCTGCGGCGCCGCCGCTGGCCCCCGCCCCGGGCGCTGCCCCGCCGCTGCATGGCCCCGCTTTGAGCGGGCCTGGCTTTGTCTTCCTCCTGCCCGCGCCGGCCTCCCCTGTCGGTTGTTGCTAGAAGTGCCCCTGGGCCAAGGTAAGGTGCCCCCAGGATTCTCGGGTTAGCCCAAACGGCCTCCACAGCAACCCTCACGAGGCCCAGAGGGCCCCAGGGGCTCCAAAATGGAGCGAAAAGCTGGGGGCACCTTGGGCCGCGGGCCATGGGTACTTTTAGCAACACCCGACCCTCCTCCTTCCCTGTGCCCGCGGCCAAATTCGCGTTTTGCGTGCCCCACTTACGCCCCATCGCCAGCGCAGTGATTCTGCCTAGCCGACGCAAAAGTGTGTGTGCGCGTGTGTGCGCGTGTGTTCGACGAGGGGCGTGGCGCGAGACGTGCTCCTTTTCAGTCTCGATGCTGACACGGCCCCAGGCGGCCTGGGCGGCAGGCCTGCGCCAAGTCGCGGACCCCACCTGCGCGAGACGCGCGCCCGACTCGAGCCGCGTGGCCGAGCATCTGCGCAGCGGGGATGAGGCGCGGCCTCGTCCAGCGGCGGGCAGTAGCATATCGTTCGGGTGCATCTCTCGGAACGCGGCCGTCATCGCCTGCCAGGAGGTGCCTAGCGAGGCCGTGCGCATGGGCAGCTGTGCGGGAGAGAGACCATGCCAATAATGAAATGGCAGGCCACTCGCGCACGGAGCCTTGATCCAAACATTTACACGGAGTGTGAAGGGAAGAGGGGAGGAGAAGGAGGAGGAGGAGGAAGAGGAGGAGGAGAAAGAGGAGAAGAGAGGAGGGAGGGGAGAGGAGGGAGGAGAGAGGAGGATTATGCTTAGCGTCCAGAAGTTTCGTGTCTAAGCCAGCTAAGCGAGCAAAGCTGAGGATTCGGATTCGTCGGAGCGATCGTAAGTCTCCCTATTTCGATTATGTCCTGAGTAAGCTCGCGTGGGATTGACATGCGTTGTCGCACGAGTGAAGAAGTGAGTGAGAAGAGGATGGGGAAGTAGAGGAGAAGCAGTAGCGAGAGGAGGAGGAGGAGGAGGAGGAGGAGGAGGAAGTAGAGGAGGAGGAGGAGTTGGAGGCGGGGTGAGGACGAATGGGGGCTTTACTGTGTTTTGCTTCCCCCGCTCCCGAGTTTGTGTTGGTGCTTGTGGACCTTCCGAGGCTCCGGTGGGTTTGTGGGGGCTCACGGGATGATCTTCATGGGGAGATTTCATTGCCGTGGCGATTACGAAGTTCGTCTGGCACAGCTTCCCTTAGCAAGTGATTGCTGGAAGCTAAGAGTAATTCCGGGGCGCTGGAGAGCTAGTTGGCAAGAAAAATCTCGACGGACCTTTTGGTGACTTTTGGTCGGTTGAAAATTTTGTTCTCGAAATTCAACCATTCGTTTGAGCTCTAATGTCACACCAGTGGTTCGTCGTAGTGCATGCCACGGCCGTGCGGCATTGTTCGAGCCGCCCGCGGACCCGCCAAGGGTGCCCCTTTCTCCAAGATGTTCCTGGATTGACCAGGGTTCCGTAGCCGTTTAGGCTCAAGCGAGTTTGGGATCGCTTCGCGTGCAGGCAGGCAGTGCAATATACAGTTTGGTTTCGCACTGGCAGCCAAACACCGTGGGAATTGGCATGGAGAACGGGCTCCAGAAGAAGCACATTCCAGAGACCTTCGGTGAGGCCAGCCCATACTACCGATCCACGGTTCTCTTCGTCTTGCCAGCAATATTGGTGGCCATTGTGGTGTACGCTTACGGTGTCTACGAGTTTCCGTTCCAAGAGCGTGTTTGCCATGTGTCATTCTTATTGGGTTCTGCTTACGCGTTCGGCAGCAATGCTGGGTTATTCCGCTATGCTCCAAAGATGTATACGACTTGCATGGAAGTCGAATACCTAGGAAAAGAGGCTTTCAGCACCATCCAGGCGGCGTTGTTCCCAGAGTTCTTCGCACTCCAGATTGCATCAACGTTTGTTGCACTCGGTGGACGCATCGGTCAGGGGGCTACGCCCACAGAGACCGTGTGGGGATACGATTCCGTGTGTTTGTGCCTAAGTGGGGCTTTATTGCTTGGCTTAGTTAATCTTCTCTGTCTCGGCCCCCTCACGTCGAGGTTCATGGTTGACATGTACAACCTTTGCCCAGAGGGATTTTACGGGAACAGCCAGCCATTCTCCGCGCCGCTTATGCCGAACGACGAGGCAAAGAAGAGAGTAAAGATGCGATTCGGCATTGTACATGGCATTTCTATGCTCTTGAATTTGGCGTCGCTCGGTGCAGTCGGTCTAAGTATAGTTTTGTCTGCTTGAGTCGATCTCGCAGTCTGGGATCTGTCTTGACACTCCGAGCACATCTAGCTTGCTTTCCAGAGCGCACTTCGCCGTCTGAGTCTGAAGGTCATTCTGACGTGAGCCCGGGTCGTTCCCGAACCCTATTTTCCGTATGTTTTCTGCACCCTGTTTTCTGCACTTTGTTTCCGCCTTCAGCGTGTCCTGCATTTCGCCAGGGTAGCGTGTATGGGGGCGCACTCGGCCATCCAGTCATCCATATCTGCGACGCGTCCCATCATCCTTGCCCGACTCGATCGTCTCGACTGCGCTAACGACCCGATCGGTCTGCGACGGAGGGGGGGCGGAGTGAAGCCCCCCTGACGGCGAGGGGCCGCTGAGCGACGGGAGGCTGCAGGCAGGGCTGGACCTAAACGATGTGTTGGCCACCTCGTGGGCCGGTTTGTGTTCGTTTTGCTTTGCATTCAAGGCGAAGCGAAGGCACAACGAGGAAGAACGACACACAGCATGAGAACGACATTCACCGTTTAGCTGTTTTAGCCCTGGCTGCCAGAGGTGGCCAGAGGCCGCCAGGGGACGCCGCGGGCTCGGGAGTGGATGAAGGCGCCGTTACGCGCACGCGAGCTCAAATGGGGTTCGATCAGGGCTCATTTCAGCTCCTCCGATTCGATTCGATTTCCATGGACTCCGATTCCGATTCGATGCGCCTTCGGACTCCGATGTGGTTTCCGATGTCTCCACGGAAGCTTCACTAGCCTGCCGATTACCGCCGATACGATGTCTCCCGGCTGCCGATTTCCGCCGATCCGATTCATTTCCATCGTTGATCCGCCTCAGCGATTCGATTCTGGCCTCTCCTGGGGTTCGGGGGGGGCGCACCACGCGAGCGTTCGTGACATGAGGACGGCCTCGCGACCACCCTCTGGGTGATGAGGTTGGTGGGTGATGGGCTTGGTTCATCTGAAAAACGCCCTGGCCGTGTAAACGTGTGTAAGAGGAAAAGTAAGATGGATAAGCGTTTTCTACATTGAGCTCTCGACAGGCTAAACTGTTTAGCTGGCCAAACATGCAAAGTGTGTTGTAGCGTTTTTCATGCCGCGTTTTACACAGCGTGTCCAGGCACGTCGCTGTGGATGATATGTTATGTTGCGGTATGTGCGTTCTCGTCGAAGTCTGCTCCCTGTATTTCCTGCCGTCCTCAGTCCCGCTCGCTCGCCCCCGTTCCTCCCGCTCCCCGCGCAGAGCTGCGCACCGCAAAAGAAGAGAGGCCCGAACGCGGGCTCAGCATCGGCGCGAAACAGGCCCGGAGGTCCCGCGACCAGCCATCAGCAACGGTCAGAGAAGAGCAGAGGGAAACAGAACAGTAATGCACGGAGGGCTCGGCGCAAGTAGGAGGAGTTGAGGACGTTTTAGACGGCAATGTCAAACAGCGAGATTAATTCATCGATGACGCCTACGACGAATGACCACCGCCCTCTGCCTTCTGGAATTGCGCATGTTGCCGAGCGTTGTGACAAAAGCTCTGCCAAGCCATCGGGACATGTGCTCCCCAAGCCGTTTTGGAAACTGTTCGGGGAGCTCTCGGGGGAGGATGGCGGGGAAGATCACGAGGTGGAGGAAGAGGCGGAGAAGCCTTTTCCTTCTGGAGGAGGAGGAAGAGAAGAAGGAAGAGGAGGAGGGGGCATCTTGGGAGCCTCTTGGGGCGCACTTGAGGCCTCCTGGGAGCTTCCTGGGAGCCTCTTGGAGGCATCTTGGGGGCCTTCTTGGGCCTCTTAGGAACCTTTGGGGGCTTCTCGGGGGCCTCTTTGGCCGTCTGAGGGTATTCCTGGCCCGTCTGAAGCCGTCGGAAGTCGTCTTGGGGGCCTCTCTGGGCCGACCTGGGGCCCTCTTAGGGTGCTCCAGGGCCGTCTTGGAACCATCTTGGGCGTCGTGGAGGCCTCTTGGGCCGTCTTGGGGCCCTCTTGGGGCCGTCTTGAGGCCCTCTTCGGCCGTCCTGGGACCATCTTGGCGGCCTGTTGGGTGATCTTGGGGCGATCTTTGGGGGCTCATGGGCCGTCTCAGGCCGTCGGACGGCCAACAATAAGCAATTGCCAACATCCTTCAAACACGTGCGGACAATCAATGATTCTAGCCTCGTTGAGCCTTCCTGGAGGCCCTCTTGGAGGCCTCTTGGGCCATCTTGCTGACCTCTTCGGGGCCCCTTGGGCCGTCTTGGGCCATTTTTGAGCCATCTTGGGCCGTCCTGGTGGGCTCTTGGCCCGTCTGGCGCCGTCTGGAGCCATTTTGGGGGCCCCTCTGGGCCGACGTGGGGCCCTCTTGGGGTGCTCCGGGGCGGTCGTGGACGCCGTCTTGGGCGTCGTGGAAGCCTCTTGGGCTGTACTGGGGCCCTGTTGGGTCCGTCTTGGAGCTTCTTGGGCCGTCCTGGGACCATATTGGAGTGGTCGATCTTGGGGCGATCTTGGGGGGCTCGTAGACCGTCTCGGGCTGGCGGGAGGCCGAAAGAAGCAAACGCCAAAATCCTTCAAAAACGTGCGGACAATCAATGATTCTGGCCTCGTTGAGCCTTCCTGGATGCCATCTTTGATGCCTCTTCGGCCGTCTTGGAGAACTTTTGGGCGCCTCTTGGGCCGTCTTAGGCCATTTGAATCATCTTGGGCCGTCTTGGTGGGCTTCTGGCCCGTCTGACGCCGTGGGAAGTCGTCTTGGGGGCCTCTCTGGGCCGACTTGGGGCCCTCTTGAGGTGCTCCAGGGCCGTCTTGGACGCCATCTTGGGCGTCGTGGAGGCCTCTGGGGCTGTATTGGGGCCGTCTTGGGGGCCTGCTTGGCCGTTCTGGGTCCATCTCAGGGGCCTCGTGGGCCGCCTTGTTTCAACATCGCCATATTTCGATGATTCTTGTGCGAGACGCTCATTCGCATCATAAGGCGTCTTGGGCCCGGATCCCCAGCATCGCGATCTGTTCGAAGATGTTCGCAGCGAAGCGGCCGTTTTGGGAGACGTTGGTGGCGCAGCGGGCGGGCCATTCCAGGTGGCCGGCGCGCTGGGCCGGAGCCCCATGGGGGAGCAAAGCAGCAGGAGCTGGCACGTCAAGCACCCCTTGTGGCCTGAGTACAGGGGGCGGCGGGTCGAGTGGCATTTGGCTCATCCCTCCACCGTGCCTGGGATGCGGGTATGGAGCTTATTGGATGGTCTTGGGGATCTCGCGGGGTGCCTCTCGGGGGCCTCTTCGAGGCAGGTTTGAAGCCTCCTCGGGGCTCTGTAGGGCGGCTTCTTGAAAACCTCTTGGGGTGTCTTGGCTGCGTTTTGGGCTGTCTTGGGGCCATCTCGGACGTCTTGGAACGATCATGGGGCGTCTCGGGACCATCTTGGACCGTCTTGGGGGCCTCTTGGGGCCCTTTGGGCCCGTTTTGAGGCCCTTGTGGGCTCGACAAGGTAATGCGACAAGATGCCGGGAACCCCAGGGGGCACGCCGAGAGCCCCGCCATATTTCGGGAATTGGGGTCCAGGCCCTTGAAAGTCTCGTCAGGACTGGGGGCTGAGGCTCCAGGGATTAGGCAAAGGACCTGAGGACACGCCCACTCCGTGCCCAGAGGCATAAATACGCATAGCAAAGCGGACCCGAAATTAAACAAATGTCATTGGTTTGAACGTTGATAGGTTTTTGTTGGGACCTGAAATCGCTAACAGCAGTGAATTCCAACACGCCGAGTTAGAAACGGTGAACAACGCTCAGGGGCATTTGTAAGATAAGCGAAGGTGGTGGGCGCAGCGTTCGATGTGCAATTGGCCAGCCACCGACCATGATACTGGAATGTCAGTCAATCTTCCTGTGTCAGGATCTCACTAAGAATCTCTACATCGATCTCATTTTCGGTCTTGCGATTAAGCTCTGTGTCGGTTCCACCCTCCGTTCACCAAGCTCGCCATCAATACATATGCGCAGATCCGAAGTTGAGTGGGGTGAGATCGAAGTGTAACGGAGACCCCCCACCGAGAAATCGGTTTCTGTCTTGTGTTCGTTCCGTGTGTGCGGGCGTTGTGCATGGGCGAGAGGAGTGACCAGTCGCTGCTAGGGCGAAGTCAGAGCAAAAGACTCCTCCCGGCGGGTGGCAGATTCGGCCCGCGGTTGTCCCAGGGTTGTCCCATGGTTGTTTCGATGGTTGTCCCGGTGGTTGCCCCGATGGTTGTCCCGACGGTTTCTCCGACGGTTGTACCTTTTATCGTACCGGTCGTTGTCCCCATAGATTCTGGCAAACAAGTGCGTTCAGCGCTTTCGGCACCTCGAGATTTTGGCCAAGATGCAACAAGCAAACGCGCTGGTTTTCGCGATGGTTGCCCCGATGGATACATAGTGAGATCGACAGATAGGGAAATGGATAGATCGACGGGACAACCGCAGGACAACCACAACGTCCACGGGACTGCCGCGTGACAACCCGGGACTAGCCGCTTGCCAACGGGGAAAAACAAGTGATGGCATTTTGCGCTAACAAGGCCCGGAGTTCTCTCGCTCCGGCGCAGCCTCGCCCCGCCCGCACGCGCGTCGCGCACGACCCGAGCCACCGGAGCCCCTGTGCGTTTCGGGGCCCCGTGCTTTCTCGAGCTCACCCCCGTTTTTCCGGCGTGGCCACGAGCGTGTGTCCTCGGCAGGTGGGCCGCCCTCGCGGTCTGTTGAGAAAGGCCCAGTTGCCAAGTTAAATGACCCCCCCCCGCGAAGTTGTACTGTCGGGTCGGGCGAAAAGGGGGGATTGGGAAAGGGGGGGTTACGAAATTTGCTGCATGCAGCTGGTTTCGGCCTCACCGAGGGGCCCATTCCTCGATACATAGCCGCCTCCGGCGCCGGGAGGCGCCGGGAAAATCAGCTACGTGAGCTGATTCTCAAACCCCCCCTTTGCTATCGCCCCCTTTCGCCCGACCCGATACTGTCCTTCATCCTGGCCTCCCAGATTGTGCGGGCGACGCATGGCGCGACTTCGGAACTCCGTTGGCGACAACGGTTTCGGACGCTGGTGCAACGCCAGTCAGTCTGGAAAATCGTGGCGCTTTGTTCTTCGATGGTTCACGGACGCGCTATTCAGGAGCGAAAGAAGGACGTACATGTACATGAATCCACGCTGGTTTCGAGAGCACGCATTGCACAAATGTTCGTATAACGCGGCCCGTCTCGCGAATCGAGGGGCCGTGTTCATGTACATAGCTGGGCGCGTACATCCTTTGTGGGCTCCCTATATGCTCCCCACCCGCGCGAAAAATCATTCGCCGGTGCGTCGTTTCGGGGAACGCCAGCCGTCATTGAGGACAGAAGCGCGCCGCGTGGATTTTGGGGGTGCGCGCGTCGTGCCCTCGAGGGGGTCACGTCGCTTCGTGCGACGCGGCGCCTTCGCCCCGCCGCATCGCGCCCCGCCTTCCCATGTCGGTTCGCGCCCCTCCTCCTGCCCGTCCCCCTCTTTCTTCCTATTCCCCCGTCGAGGGCAGTGCGCGGTTGGCCCCGCTTTTTGTTGTCAGGCTGCCGTCCTCTCCCCCTGCTTCCTCGCCCCCTCTTGCCTTTCCACCCACCTTGAACTTCCCTCTCGCCCTCCTGGTTCCCGCCGCCTCCTTGCCTTCCATCGTTGCCACGGCACGCGCGCCTCGAAGCGCGCGCCCCAGGCCCGCGCCTCCTGCGCCTGCCCCCTGCCCCCCGTTTCGGGGACCCCCAAACAGTGCGGTGACCACGCCGTGCGGTGTGTCAGTGGGGACTGGCGGTGATCGCACGGCGTTGGGGGCTCGGGCCATTCTCCATGGATGTCTCGAGCGATTGGGGCGCGCAGGGTCCCGAAGGGGTGCGGTGACGGACGGTGCGGAGAGGCCGTTGGACATTTCGACGTCGCCGCATGGTCTGTCACCGCACCGTTTCGGGACCCCCAGCTGCAGAGATTTTGGAAGTTGCCCCACTTCATTGCGTTTCGGTAGGCGCCAGGTCCCTTTTACTCCTGATGCGTTTTTGTTTGTTCCTTATTGCCCCCTTCCCTCCCTTCTCGCCCCCGTGCTCCATCGGGTTTGATGCTGCGAGCGGGGGTCTTGGATTCCCCTCAGCTTCATCCTCTTCCATCGCAGGCTCCATCGTCTTTTCTCGGGGGATGAAGAACCACCCCGACCCTCACGACCGAAGTCTACCAAGCAGGTTTGGGCATCTACGAAAAACAGTTGTGGCATGCCCGACACCTCCCTCACAACAGGTGCGTTTTTTAGAGGGGTTGCTTGCACGTGTGCTCAGTATGAGGGTGGCTCTTTTGCCATCTGATCCGCAGATCGGGCGATGCGAAAATGCAGTGTCGCGACAAATCACGACCAGAGCCGCAGACCCCATCCTGTTGCGTCATCTTTACGGATAGATCCGTGAGGGCGCCGGGCGGGGCAATGCGGATAGGTCTGTGAGAGTCGCACGGGACCTCAGTCGCGGCCTCTTCCCCCCCTGAGTCTTGTTGCGCTGGCCTCGCGAGAGGACCCAGACGAAATTGCAGTTCCGCATCGCCGTCGGCAGCGAGTCCTCGGAGGGCCAGCAGCCCAGGGGCCCCGTGACCCACGACTTCTTCGAGAAGCGGGTCGCGGAGCTGCCGACAGGCTGCCGCGGCGACGAGGAGGAGGTTTCTCCCTCCCCGGTCCTCCCAACGCATTGGGAAAATAACCACGCCCGTGGCCGTTGGCCCGGCCTCGGGACCGGCAACAGGCCATACGGGGCGAAAACAAGCCATACGGGGCGAAAAGCCGGTCCCCAGGGAAGGTGGTCCAGAGGTCCGAAGAAGACCCCGCATGGACAGATATCAAGACATCGGAGGTTTGGGCCTTCGTAGCATGAAGGAAAGGGGTCTTGGGGGAAACGGGTCTTTCACGAGTTTGCCCGCTCTCGGGCTCCAGGGGCCTTTCTCCCGGGCCTCATGGCCGTCAACAGACGCGGCACGGGATGAAGAGTTGGTGCCGAGGACGGCCTCTCGGTTCCAGGACCCGTTTCCCTGAGGAACCGTTTCGTTCATGCCAGGAAGAGGGGGCGGAGGAGGAGGGGGAGGAGGAGGTCTCTTCCTTGCTTCTCCGAATCTGGGATTTCTACACATCCACCGCTTGGGGAGTCGCTCTGCTTGTGCCAGAGGGGGCCGTGGATATGGACGTGTGTGGGCCCCAGGGCTTCCGAATATAGCCGTGTCAACCGCCTCCTGAGGTCAGGGTCAGGGAGATCGGTCCCCCGAGCGGTGGATTTCTATAGATTCCTCCTCGTTCCTCCTCCTCCGCGCCATCCCTATCACAATTTGGCAGCCCCCTCGAGGGGCGGGATCTCGTTTGGATCCCGATGCACCTCCCGGGAGCTCACGAAAGTGGCGACGACGGCACATTTGGCAACCCCAAGGGGTGCGAGGTCTCGTTCGGATTTGCGTAAGACGTCACTCCGCGGGGGAGAAGGGCAGGAGAGACGAGGAGGTAAGTGAGGACGGCGGCAGCATTGCTCGTTCCAAAGCAAGAGCCCACCGTAGCACGCAGCAGGGCCGTGGGCCACAACAACCCGTCTGCAACAAGTGGCAGGACTGACGGGCCCAGGCCAACCAGAACCAACGAGCGTACGAGATGGCGTGCGGTCCGTTGCGCAGGCTGCACGTGGAACCCACGGCGTTGCACGCCCCGTGATCAGTGCACCCAGTGGAATCGACTCCAAACGAAACGAGACACATGGGGACGGACGGCAGGAGGACGACCAAGACGCCTTGGCGGGGCGTATGCATTTTGGTCTGTGCAGCGCCGCGCCCTCCGCTCTCGCAGGACCTCTCAGGAGCCCATGGAAGCGGCCGCAGTTGCGCAGCTGGCATCATCCAGGGAATGGTAGGTCTTGTTTCGACCCCCGTATACAGGTGTTCCGCTGGGTCTCCCAGGGGCGAGAGTTGCGCATCTAGCAGCACACAGGGTGGCGGGGTGTCGGGGGGTCTCGCTTGGCCCTGCGTAAGACACATCCCCGCCGGACGAACGTGGCATCAATTGCGCAGTTCGCAGCTGGCAACGCCCAGAGATTGATTGTTATGTCCCGCTTGGACCTGCGTAAGACACCACTCCCCTGGACCTTCCAGTAGCCCACGAAAGTGGCCGTGGTTGCGCATTTTGCAGCACCACGGGAGGGCGAGATGTCGTGTGCATGTGCGCTAAGCATCACGCCACTGGGCCGCCAGGAGGCCCGCGAAAACAAGTTGGAGAGGCGCGAGACAGAACTCCGCTGGGCCTGCCAGGAACGAACGAAAACGGCGACAGCTGCGCATCTAGTATCACCCACGGAGGTCAGGTTTTTGGCTTGGTCTGCTTAAGACGTCACTCCGCTGGGCCGCCCAGGAGCCCACAACATTGGCAGCAACTGCGTATCCAGCGTATCGAAGACGCCTACGGCGCATCACCGCCGCCCCCTGCCTTTTGAGAAGCGCCTATGTGGCCGAACGTTTAGGCCAGACCTGCCAAGCCATCGGACCATGTGTTCCCCGTATCGGTTTGGAAAGCCTTCGGGGAACACGTGGGCATCTTGAAGGTCATCTTGGCCGCCTGGAGGCCATTTTGACTCTTTCGGGCCTTCTTGGAGGACGTCTTGGAAGGCTCGTGGGCCGTCTTGGAGGCCATCTTGAGCGTCTTGGAGGCCTCTTGGGCCGTCTTGGGGGCCTCTTGGGGCCGTCTTGGGCGCCTCTTGGGCCGTTCTGGGGCCATTTTGGAGGCCTCTTAGGCGATCCTTGGGCGATCTTTGGGAGCTATTGGGCCGTATCGGGCCGTCGGAAGGCCGAAACGAAGCAAATGTCAAAATCCTTCAAAAACCTATGGAAATCGCTCTTTTTGGCCTTTTCTGGCCTTCCTGGAGGCCCTCTTGGAGGCCTCTGGGGCCGTCTTGGGCCAGCTGCGAGCCACCTCCGGCCATCTTGGTGGGCTCCTGGCCCGTCGGACGCCGTCGGAAGCCGTTTCGGGGGCCTTTCTGTGCCGACTTGGGGCCCGTGCTCCAGGGCCGTCTCAGAGGCCATCTTGGGCGTCTTCGAGGCCTCTTGGGCCGTCTTGGCGCCCTCTTGGGGCCGTCTTGGGGGCCTCTTGGGCCGTCATGGGGCCATCTTGGAGGCCTCTTGGGCGATCTTGGGGCGACCTTGGCGGCCTCTGGGGCCGTCACGGGCCGTCGGAAGGCCGAAACGAAGCAAATGTCAAAATCCTTCAAAAGCCTTCGGAAAATCAAGGATTTTGGCCTGAACTCTTGGAGGCCTCTTGGGCCGTCTTGGAGGCCGTCTTGGATGCCTCTTGCAGGCCTTTTGGGCCGTCTTAGACCATATTGGGGCCATCTTGGGCCGTCTTGGATGCATCTTGGGGCCATCTTAGCCGTCTTGGAGGCCATCTTGGTTGTCTTGGAGGCATCTTGCAGGCAATCTTGGGCCATCTTCGCGATTTTGTGAGTATCTCCCGAGCGAAACGGCCGTTTTTGGCGATGGCAACCACCTCTTCAGGGTGGCCGGCGGGACGCGCCGGAGCCCCAGGGGGAGTTCTTTTGGAAGAAGAACCAAAACCAAAACCGAGAGGGTCCAGCACGCCAGGCACCCCTTTGATGAATCAAAAGGGGGCGGCGGATCCAGTTGCCTACGGCAAGTCCCGCCACCGTGCCAGCCCAGCATTCTCGGTGGCAGCTGCTCGAACCGATGGGGATGATGAAGAAGGAGAAGAACAATAAGAAGATGACTGTGATGAGGATGAGGATGAGGATGCGGATGATGAGGATGATGATGCTGATGATGTTGATGCTGATGATGATGTTGATGGTGGTGATGATGATGTTGATGATGATGGTGATGATTGTGATGATGACGATTTCGATGATGATGACGCAGATGATAATGATGACGAAGAGAGAATGAGGTGGAGTAGGATTATTGTGGCGGACAAGGTGCATAGATCACATGATGATGGTGACGATGCAGCTTTTGGAGTCCCCTAGGGTTCTCTTGTGTGGTGTTGGCGTCGTCTGGGGCCATTGCGGGGAAGGAACGGTCCGCAGCAAGGGAAGGTGGCACCCCAGGAGATTACATGCACCCTGCCGCGCAGCACTTGTTATTCTATCATGCCTCAAGGTTCCAGGAGGCAGCTATTGAGAAGCTCTCATGGAACTTGTTTTGGCTGTCTTGCGACTGTCTTGACCTCTTGTGAGGCAGTCTTGGGGATCACTTTGGGCTGTGTTTGGGCTCTCTTGGGCCGTCTTGAGGCTCTCTTGGACCGTCTTGCGCCCTTTTGACTGTAGAATGGGTGCCTGGGGGCCGTATGGTGGATGTCTTGGCGCCGCCTACAGGAGGTCCTCGTGGGCCGTTTGGGACTGTTTTTTGGGTGCCTCTTGGGTCATCGTGAGGTTTCTGCCGTGTTTTCAGTCTCTCGTGGCCCTTCGCATGCTCTGGTGGTGTCGAGGACTGGTCGGGACGCCAATCTTAAAGCCCTGTGTCCAGGACCCGTTTCCTTGAGGACCCTGTCGTTCCATAGAAATTTTGGGTTCGGCAAGCGGCGTTATGCTGTTTTGTTGTTGATTCCTTGGCGAGGGCATGCTTGATTGTATTCAGCATATCCTACGTATGGGGGCCTGCTCCGCCTCACTTCCCACCTCCTCATTCAGGTTAGTACTTTTTCAACTTTAAACGGGGGTAAACGTAGGAATGTATAGCGGACGCCATGCCACGTATCCGGCGGTACTTTGGCCAAAGGTAGCGCCACCCAGTTTGCTTGCCTCGAGACTTCGAGGTACCATCGAGCCTGAGCGTCGGATAAAGGCCACATCCACCGATGGTTCATCTCTCCATCCACGTCCTGTGTCTTACCAACCGTCCTGCTTGCGAACCAGGGAGAAGCTATGGGATACTTTGATATGTTGCCGACGTGTTCCTAAGAAGCAGGATGGCTGCTTACTACCTCATGGAGCCCCTGACCCTTGCTTTTCACTTTATAGCGGAACTGGCCTCATCTGGCCTCATTTTTGTTTGGTTGGTTCTTACATCAGGCTTATGTACAAAACAATGTACCACCATGGCACAGTGGAGTACCCAACTGCGCCGGTCATCAGCCACTACATTCCCAAGACTCCTTCAACCGATGGGTATAGTACTATCATACTCCTCCATCTCCCCACCGCGTGGCAACGCGACACGCACATACCAAACTCCCACACCCATCCGCGAACTGACGGCCACGTGTGACCATTCACCCAGTCGCAATCCTACAGGTACGTCAAACCTCAACAGCGCCCCATAGTGTAGAGACTTCTCGAACCAAACGCTGGGTTTGGCTTCCCCGACCCCTCTCGTTTGAGAGCCTCCATGGCCGCAGCGATGTAGCTGGCATGCCAGTTGTGGATCCCGAGGGGGTCCGCCTGGTGTGAGACAACGATCTGGCCGCGCCCATATTGACGGGATATCCCATGCGAAACGTTGGCTGGTGGAGACCCCGATCTTTTCCTTTGAAAGCTCCATGGCCGCCGCGATAAAGCAGGCATACCACGTGGGCGCCCCAAGGCGAAGTCGCCAGGGGGGTAGGACATGTGTCCGTTCGGGCCCAGATTGTGGGGACGACCCAATGGAAACGCAGGATTTTGGTTTCCCCAACCCCACTTGTATTGAGAGCCTCGTGGTCACCTTGATGCAGCAGGCATAGCATTTGGACCCCCCAGAGGGGGAGCCTCCAGGGGGTAGAACACGAGCCTGGTCGCGCCTATCTTGTGGAAGCGTTGGGTCTTCCCCACCCCCTCCGCCCACCCGACCCCTCTTTGTGAGAGCCCCATGATCACCGCGACGTAGCAGGCATAGCACTTGCGCGTCACAAAGTGGAGCCGCTAGGGACAACTGATTCATGCCCAAACCCACTCGCATTCAGACCGAGCTGTATTTCATCACCCGTTTTCGACATCACCTAGACTCGTATTTGAGCATTACATTTCGGCTACTAGAACAGAGGTGCACACCTGAGGTCCACGCGTCGGAAAACAACGGGTCAACGACCAGTTTGGAGGGGTCGACCCACACGGGTTACGTGTTCCCGAGGCGACAAGACCGATGTTTCCCTTCCGCGCGTGATAAGGATGAGCGGTACAGGTGCCACTGAGCTAAGGATTGGCAAAGGACTGGCTAAGGAGCTAAGGACTGGCTGAGTGTGGGCCAGTTGTGCAAGGATGGCAGATTCCCATTGGCATCGCGACACCATGCGCGTCGAGTGTCATCCCATCCCTGTCTCTTCTCCTCCCCAGCTCCTCGTCCCGTTTCCATGTTCCACCCGCCGACAATTCGGAGCACCTGAATTTTCACCAGTTGTCCACGTGCACGTTTCCCATCACGGAGTTTCTCGTCTGCGTCAGTCTCCCAAAAATATATCGGAAGTCGATTTCACCCTCGTCCCGATACCGTTTAGTTGTTGTAAGTGTTGAGAGTATTGTGAAATTCGGATCAACGTTTGCCTACCTCTCGTGAAGTGCAGATATTCCATTGCTAATTTGATCTCTTGCCGAGAATGTGCGCCAGGCAGCGACGAGTGGGATTTCAAGAAAGTAGTTGACGCGTCCACGGATACCTTCACTGTGTGCTTGGAGATCTTGCCTGCGTCTGGCTAGTGGCAGCGTGAAAACATGCGCGCCACTCCATAGCCATAATGCCATTCTGCGGTTCCACATCATTTCTTCATCAGTTTCTACTCTCCCGTATTGCCAGCTGTTGTTACCCGACGTCCAATCAAAGTATCTTGAACCATGAATCATGGAATTGCCACCAAAGCTTGTCTCTTACATGCAGAACTTGGCGATACCGTCCCTCTTCGAGTCCCCAGCCACGATCGACTCCAGCTGATTGCGGCAGTTCCTGCCACCATGCCACCGGAGCATGTACATCTTCATCAAGAGGGGGGGGGGGGGAGGCAGCCAGGCCTCCCAGGATCGGGACCCAAATACTATGTCCAAGTGCGGCAAGACGGCACCAAATGCGGCCCGAAATGGTTCCAATATATCATGGGTGGACCCAAATATTGAAATAGCGCCAGTGTCAGACCCAGTAGTTGCGTCAGTTTTTGTTGTTGTTGTTGTTGTTGTTGCTGTTGCTGTTGCTGTTGCTGTTGCTGTTGCTGTTGCTGTTGCTGTTGCTGTTGCTGTTGCTGTTGCTGCTGTTGCTGTTGCTGCTGTTGTTGTTGTTGTTGTTGTTGTTGTTGTTGTTGTTGTTGTTGTTGTTGTTGTTGTGTGTGTGTGTGTTCGTGGTTGCCTGGCAGTCTGATGATAAATCGCTCCAGAGCCTCCCTGAGTTCTCGCGGAGAGTCCAGGAGTGCTGTGGAAAGGCCGCGGCGCCCGACATGTCCTCCAGTCCCAGCGGTCCTCGCTTTCTCGGCATCGCTCGGACGCGTGCACCTCCTTCCGGTGAGGACCATCGAGGAGTACCCCGGATCATGCTGCGCAGAAGAGCAGACACGCGCACGAGACCGAAGCATGCCCGGGGAATGGACGTCCGAGCGATGGAGAGGTTCCCCCCCGATCTCTTCAACCCCGTCGTGGCGAGGGGCGGGACGTGGCGGGCTCTGGGCGCGCAGGAGGGGCTCGGGTAGAGGTTGTTGTCCAGGGTGGATCGTCGTTAGTGCTTTCGGGCCAGGGTGAAGGCTGCCAGGATTTGGGGTCCAGGGGCTCGGAGAAGCTTCAGAGCTGCAGATGTTTGTGTTCTCTAGGACCAAAATATCCTCACAAATGGGATCACCGCGGGTGACGAACGGAGAAGGGAGCAGGAGGAGGAGGAGCTTGACGAGGAGGAGGAGGAGGAGGAGGAGGAGGAGGGAGGGTGGGAACAGCCACGACGGACACTCGCGCGTGCGTGGGCCAACCTAGGTAGAAGACACCCGCAAAGAATTCCAGTAAGCACGAGCGAAGGAGTGACGAGGATGAGGAACAATTCACCACTCACCCGCGGTGATTCCATGTGCGTAGGCATTCAGGCCATAGGGAATAAAGACATCTACAGTTTTGCTCATTCTCACAGCGCGCAGCGGTTCGCTTTTGGCAGGTTGGCCTGGGCGCCGCTCCAGGTGTTTTGCGTGGTCCTCTGCCGTTCCCTTTTCTTCTCCTCCTTTTCCTCCTCCTCCTCCTCCGTCTCCTCCTTCTCCTTCCTCTTCCCCCATCTGCCCTAGTTCCGAGTCTGGGGCATTGTTGAGATTCGTCGCGGTAGCATTTCCCGCAGCGTTCCCCTTCCTCCTCCAAAGTTGCGTCGAACAAAGGCCTCGCGAAGAACCCATCCCTACCTAGGGGCCAGCATAGTAACACCCACCCATATTCATATTAGACCTCGCCGTCTCTGGGGGGCTGCGATCCGCGAAACCGTCGCCACGTTCGATGGCTGCTGGGGGGGCAGCAGTGTGGCGTCCTACCCATATTTATATGTGACCTCGGCATCTCTCGGGGTTGCGATCTGCGAAGCCATCGCCACGTTCGAGGGCTCCTGGGGGCAGCGTAGTGACGTCCTAGCCATATCCAGATTAGACCTCGCCATCCCTTAAGAACTGCGATCTGCAAAACCGTGGCCACGTTCGAGGGCTGCGGGGGGCGGGCAGCGTAGTGACGTCTTACCCAGACTCAGATTCGACCTCGCCACGGCTGGGGGGGCTGCGATCTGCGAAACGGTCGTCACGTTCTAGGGCTGCTGGGGGGCCAGCATCGTGGCGCCCCATCGATAGTCAGATTAGACTTCGCCATCTCTTGCCACGTTCGAGGGCTGCGGGGGGGGAGCGTAGTGACGTCCTACCCAGAATTTAGATTTAGATTAGACCTCGCCACGTGTGAGGGATGTTTGGGGGGAAGCACAGTAACGTCTTGTCACGACTCATATTTTGGCCTGGTCATCTCCTGGGGGGGGGGCTGCGATTTGCGAATCTGTCGCCACGTTCGAGGGCTGCTGGGGGGGGCATAGTGACGTCCTACCCAGAATCGGACTAGACCTCGCCATTCCTGGGGGGCTGCGATCTGCGAAACTATCGCCACCTTTGAGGGCTGCTGGGGTGGGCCAGCATCATGCGGTGCTACGCTGATCAGAGCGGGACCTCGCCATCTCAGGGGGGGGGCTGCGATCTGCGCAGTTGTCGCCGCCTTCGCGGGCTGCTGGGGGGCAGCTTAATGCGGTGCTACGCAGATCAGAGCGGGACCTCGCCATCCATGCGGGGTGACGATTTGCGAAACCGTCGCCACTTTCAAGGGCCGCTGGGGGGGTCGTGCTATGCAGATCCGAGCGAAGCATCCCCATCCCTGGGGGGCTGCGATCTGCGGTCGCGTCGCCTCTTTCGAGAGGTGCTGGGGAGTCTAGCTTTGTGCGGTGCTACGCGGCTCAGAGCGGGACCGCGCCATTTTTCGGGGGGCTGCGATATGCGAAATTGTCGCCGTTCTCGAAGGCTCCCGGGGGGGGAGGGGGCAGCCCACTGTTCTGCGTCTCGTGCAGTTCGAGAGCCTCCCGAACGTCATTCGCAGCAACATCTACCTCCTAGCCACGTTGCCGCAATCTATAACGTCTACCCAACTATTGTGGCCGTGCATTGCGCAAGGGGGGTTGGGCACGTCGTCAGGATCAGTCGGGCTTCCTCCTGCGGTGTGGAGATTGGCCCTTGGCCTGCACATTTCGACATGCGTGCCCAGCTCGGCGCCACGAGCTTGCACGAGCACGTGGTGGGCTTATACGTGTGTGCTGCCGGATTTCGTTATGATGGGCTGAGCTGGACCCCGATAGTTGTTCTTTGAGCCAGAATGGCTTGGCCGTCCCCTCCCAACCAATCTCTGGGCGAAAGACCATCCTGTGTGCATCTCCGAGCAACGCGAGTCAGGTGGGAAGCAGGAGGGGGCCCTGCAGAATGACTGGGGCGCGGAGGAGGAGGAGGAGGAGGAGGAGGAGGAGGAGGAGGAGGAGGAGGAGGAGGGTAATTGAGGGCACGCGGGGCAGGGGCGACGAACGATCGGGAGTCGGGGAGCCCTTGTTTTTTGTAGGCGCCCGCCGGGCCGCAGGCCAGTCGCCCGCAAGGGAGGCGGAGCGCAGAGGAGTCCCCGCGGCTCGCGCTCGTCGCCCCATAGGATCTCGAACGGCGACGGGGGTCGTCCGCGGCACGTGGCCCCAAAAGGCGGCCACCTACTTTCAGGTGCAGCTTCGTTCAGGAGGGGAAAAAACACACAGACACAATTAATCCTCGATTCCCAGGAAAATATGGGAAAATATGGGAATTGGGGGGGAAGACAAAAACCCAGAAAATATGAGAAAATATGGGGACTATTTTTATTTGTGTGTATTTATTTGTGTGTCCTAATTTCCCTTTATTCGTGTGAGCCCACGAAACGTTTGAAGGGTGTGCCGAATTGGGCGTGGACCGCACGCGGACAAGACCATCGGGGCTTTCGGCAGGACTCCCTGTGGGACCAGAAGTCGTGTGAGGGGTGTGCTGACACGGGCGGGGAACCGCATGCCAGTGCAACCGCTGGGGCTTCCGGTGGAGCACCATGTGGGGCCACGAAACGCGTGAGGGGTGTGCCGAAGCGGGCGGGGAATCGCATGCGAGCCTAGCGAATGGGGGCCACGAAGCGTGTAATGGGTTTGCCGAAATGGGTGGGAACCGCATGCAGGCTCAGCCACTGAGGCCTTACTTAGGTCGGGCTACCTATGGGGACACGAACCGCGTGAGGGGAGCGTCGCGATGGGAGGTAACCGCACACGAGCGCAGGCACTGCGGCCGCAGGTGGAGCCCCTTATGCGGCCACGAAGCCTGTGAGGGGTGTGCCGAAAATGTAAGGGGGTCGCCGCATGCGAGCGATGCCACTGCGGCTCTCGGTGGGGCTCCCCATGGGTCTACGAAGCGTGTGAAGGGTTTTGCCGAAATGAGTGGGAACCGCTTGCGAGCTCAGCCGCTGGGGCCTTAGACGGGGCTATCTATGTGGGCACGAAACGGAAACGTGTGAGGGGTGTGCCGGAATGGGAGGGAACCGCATTTGAGCTTAGCCGCGGGGGCCTTAGGTGGAGCCCCCATATGAGGCCACACAGCGTGGGTTTGCCGAAATGGGCGGGAACCGCATGCGAGCTCGGCCACTGGGGCTTTCGGTGGGGCTACCCATGGGGACACGAACCGTGTGAGGGGAGTGTCGCGATGGAAGGTAACCGCACACCAGCGCAGCCATTGGGACCGCAGGTTGAGCCCCTTCTGCGGCCACGAAGCGTGTGAAGGCTTTGTCGAAATGGGCGGGGGACCGCATGTGACCGCAGCCGCAGGGGCTTTAGGTGGACTCCATGTGGGGCCAGAAAGCGTGTGAGGGGTGAGCCGACATTGGCTGGGAACCGCATGCGAGCTCAGCCGCTGGGGCCTTAGGTTAAGCTCCATGGGGGGCCAAGAAGCGTGTGAGGGGTGTGCCCAACTGGGTGGGGAACCGCAGGCGAGCTTAGCCATGAGGGCCTTAGGTGGAGCCCCTGGATGGGGCCACGAATGTGTGAGGGGTGTGCCGAAATTGGCGGGGAACCGCGTGCGAGTCCAACCGCTGGGGCCTTAGGTGGGCTTCCTAGGGGACCACAAAGCGTGTGAGTTGTTTGTCGAACTGGGCGGGGTGCCGCATGCGAGTCGATGGGGCGACCTGTGGGGCCACGAAGCGCGTGAGGGGTTTGTCGAAGGTATGCGGGCAACCACATGCGACGGCAGCCACTGGAGCCTTAGTTGGAGCTCCCTATGGGACCACGCAGCGTGTGAGGGGTGTATCGTTATGGGCGGGAGCCGCATGCGAGCGCAGCCACCCTGGGGACTCAGGTGGAGCTGTCTTGGATGAGGCGGAGGAGGAGGAGGAGGAGGAGGAGGAGGAGGAGACGCGGGGGCTCTAAGAAAGGAGAGAGGCTAGGACCCAACACCACAGGATGATCGGAAAAAGTTGAGAGCAAGACATGGGTGGAGAGGTCGAGAAGCGGGGGTGGGGGTGATACAGGCTCATTTCCCCACCCCAACTGGGCCATCGTATCTCAGCTCCACCAGCCCCCCCCCCCCCCCCCCCAGATGGGGATAGACCACGCCGGAGGCGCTTCCCGGCATCATCCACCACCGTGCCCTGGGCACGGAGTGGGCGTTTCCTCAGATCATTTGTCCAATTCCCTCAGCCTCAGTCCTCAGTCCTGAGGAGTATTTCAAGGGCACCTCGTTGCCACCGCTGGATTTGCTTCGAAAGTCTGGTCCCACAAAGGCGAAAACGAGGGAAGCCACCTGGGGGGATCAATCGGCCAGTGGGGCCAAGGCCATGCCAGTGGGGATGTGGGTCGGTTCAACGACGCTGACGCGACAAAATTACCATCTAAGCAGCGTCAATGGAGGAGGATGAGGAGGAGGAGGAGGAAAAGGGCGTGGCCGGCACAGGCTCCAGGTCGGCCAGGGGGCAGGTCGGTTCGATTTCGGCTTGGGTGAAGTTCCCGAATTCATGCGAAGTCGATCTCGCAACCGCCTGATGCACGGTTGTAGAACCTTCTTTTTCTTAGAGGAAACAATTATTTCATTTCTGTTCGCAGTGAGTTGTCCACTCCACTGGTCGCGCAAACATCCCACCCACCCACCCGCAACCTGTGTTGCAAACCTCATGCGGCGGCGATTGCGATGAGTGCTTGGCGCTGGCTGGTGCATCTCTGCGGCCGCGCCAGCCCGCGCAGCGCACGCGCGCAGCGGCCAGGTAGTTGGGCGCGACCGACGAGGCCGCGATGCTGCTGACCGCTCGGCACATATCAGCGGGCACTTGAGTGCGAGTCGGCGGCTTGGGCGGGCGCGGTAGCATGGCAACGTCGACACCTGTAGAAACAATGACGATGATAGTGGCGATGTTGGTGACGATTGGTGCAGACACGATGATGATGATGATGATGATGATAATGATGATGATGATGATGGTGATGATGATGATGCTGATGATGATGATAGTGGCGATGACGGTGCCGATGCAGGTAACGCTAACGACGATGACGGCGTCTTCGCGTCGGTGATGAATGTTTTGGAAGGAATTCGAAATGCGCGCGCGGCAGACGCGTGAGAGTGGCTTCCTTGGTATTGTTTGGCACGCGCGGAGGGGCGTTCGGACGATTTCGACATGCTCGCGCGGAGCCTGTTTGGTAGCACTGTATGAAAATGTTGAACAACTCATGGTGTTCTAAGAAATCGCGAGAGCGCGCGCACGCTTTTGTGGATCATATTTGTTCCGAAACTGTTTTTTTTTACGTTCGATTATGATATCCGTCCACAACCAAGGATTTTTGAGAGTTTGTGGCATGCGCGCGCGACGATGCGCGCGTGTGAATTTCGTTTCATGTTTTGTAGGGGACGCTTGGAAACTTATGATTTGTGATAAACGAGTGCGCGCGCATAGAATTTTTGTGTGGAGGATGACGGGGGGGACCGATGCCGGTGCTGGGTTTGTATGACGCAGGTAGGACGAACATTGGGTCAGAACCCACGTGTTTTACATCGGTTCCCGGGAGGGTGGCAGAATGATTTTTTGCTACAAAAACGACAAAGTATGCGATGCAGGTTTTGTGATGCATTCTACGCGGTACCATGTACGCGATGCAACCAGCGTAATGCAATCTATGCGGTGCAATGTATGCGATGAGTCGACGGCGACGGGCGGCATGGGCGGCGGCGGGCGACGGGCGGCGACGGGAGGCAGGCACCAGTGGCGACGGGCGGGTATGGCGGCGACGGCGACGGGCGGCACGGCGGCGATTTCGCGGCGAGGGCCCCGGGATGGTGAAGCGACGTAAGAAACTTAGTGTTGCAAGCACTGTTTGGGAACAGAAGAGATCACGACAAATCAATACTAAAACGCACGTGTCTTGTCCATCCTACCTTCCGGACTCTTTTTGCCATTACTTCTGGTTGTTCGGTTGTTCAGATACGGGCTCGCGCGCCGGCGGGTCAGGCTGTTGGGCCGACTTGCACGCGACGTCCGACGATGCAACCCCCGGTCGAGGCCGGGGGGGAGAGCCCCAAGCGCGCCGGCCGAGGTGCTGCCGCACCTGCCGCGGACGGCGCGCCTGCTGCCCAGCGGATCGCCGGGCCGGCCCTCGGGCGCCCAGCGGCGCGGGCCGACCGTGGAGCTCCTTGGGCGCGCGCGGGGAGATAGAGAGGAGGAGGTCGAGCGGAGGAGGTGGAGAGGAGGAAGGCCTCCTATGCAAAGACGGTGCCCAGACCACCAGGACAGCGTGTTTCTCCCAGGGGAGGGAGCCCAGGAGGAAGAGGAGGAGCAGGAGGAGGCTCCGGAGGAGGTGGAGAGGAGCCCACGGACCAAGCGCAGCCAGGTCAGCGGCGAAACTACGGAAGCCCACACACGGGTGGGATGAAGCATTTGCAGAGCGGGTGCCTAAAAGCGAGACTCGCGGGTAGCGGGCCGCACTCCGAGCACAGAGCCCGCTCTCGCGAATTGTGTTTATTGCGCGTGACCTCCTCCTGGACCGTGGCGAGGCGGTTCAGCGCCTCTTTGAATTGCTCGCAGGCTTTTGTCAGCTGCCTCTGCTTGGCTTGCTTCTCGATGCCTGCCGTGTTTATGTCGAAGGAGCTCCATGATGTCATGGTCGACGTCCCGATCCGCCTCGAGCTCGAGCAGGGCCCACTGCTGGAGGACCTATACTCTCCTCAGGGCGTTCTTGACGTCTGCCCTCTCCTTGTTGTTCCCCGCTTGCTGCTTTGCGGGCAGGTCCTGCCATGGCCCGCCTGCTGTAGCCAGTGGCTACCTCCCCTGGGGCGGCATAGCTGCGTTCAAATGAACACCGAAGCCTATATCAACAGAGATAAGAGGAAGACGAACAGGACGAGGAGGAGGAGGAGGTGGTGGAGGGCAAGGAGGACGAGGAGGGCGAGAAGGATCAGATGAGGACTAGGTGCCGATGCTGCTACCATTCCATCGTTTTCGCCCTCTGGTCCTCCTGAGAGGCCCTCGTCGCAACGGCTGGGTCCGCCTCGAAGTCCTGGTCAGCACCTCCAGAGAGGCCCCTGGAGCAGCGGTACCAGTACCTTTAGGCCCCTCTGGAGGGGGGTCGGCCGATCGAGGGGGGGCGCTCTCGTGGCACCCAAGGCGCCGCGGCCCCACCTAAACATTTATTTGACGATGCGAACCAGCGCTAAGCAGGCTTTTCGGGTCCCCCATTGGGCCACATCTTAGCCGAATCACTTGCAGGCTGGCAATCAGCCAACCAGCGGAGGGCATCCCTAGCACTGTCAGGGCCCACTCCGCCAGGACAGTGTGCTTCTCCTACAGGAGCAGGAGGAGGACGAGGAGGCGGAGGAGGAGGAGGAGGAGGAGGTGGAGGAGGAGGAGAGTTAGGAGGAGGAGGATCAGGAAGAAGTAGAAGGAGGAGTAGAAGGAGGAGAGAGAGGAGGAGGAGGAGGAGGAGGGAGGAGGAGGAGGAGGAGGAGGAGGGAGGGAGGAGGGAGGAGGGAGGAGGGAGGAGGAGGAGGGAGAGGAGGAGGGAGGAGGGAGGAGGAGGAGGAGGAGGAGGAAGAGGAGGAGGAGGAGGAGGAGAGAAAGAGGAGGGGGAGGAGGAGCGGGAGCAGGAGAGGAGGAGGAGGAGGAGGAGGAGAGGAGGAGGAGGAGAGGAGGAGGAGGAGGAGGAGGGAGGCGGAGGAGGAGGAGGAGGAGGGGGGGGGGGGGGGGGGGGGAGGAGGAGGGAGGAGCCCGAACAGGCGGCGCGGCATGAGGCAGAGCGGCGGCCGGAGGAGCGGTGGCTGGAGGGGGGAGGTGAGAAGAGGGGCAGGAGCCGGGGCAGGGCGGGGAGCGGCACCAGTTGCGGTCGGGTCGGGGGCAGCGTCAGGGCGGGGGGGGGCTCTCCTCCTCTCCCGCTTCCTTCTCCTCCTCCTCCTCCTCCTCCTCCTCCACCACCTCCTCCTCCTCCTCCCCTCCTCCTCCTCCTCCTCCTCCTCCTCCTCCTCCTCCTCCTCCTCCTCCTCCTCCTCCTCCTCCCCCTCCTCCTCCTCCTCGTCCCCTTATAGGCCTCATCTTCCTCCTCAGCCTGATCCTGCGCTTCTCACACATATGTCATGTGCGGACACTCGAGAGCGCAGCGCGCGCAGATGCCTCGTTCTTGTTCCTCCTTCGTGGGCAAGCCGCGGGAGCGAGCGCTCGAGGCGTATATCAGCAGCCTGAGGCCTGCCAGCTCGCGCGTCCGCGGTCTACCCGAAAACGCCGAGCTGCAAGGACGAACGAGAAGAACAACCGAAATAGTGTGGCCAGCGAGCAGCAAGAAGAGGACCCCCCATACCTTGACCCCCACTCATGAGCCTCAATCTCACCATCGCAAGGAGAACAAACAGAGACCTATCTCCTCCTCCTTACATGAACTTTCTGAGATCCCCGCAGGTTTCTAAGATCGGGGGTAGCCCCCCACTGGCGGCGCCTCCGGCGCCGCGCCAGGCAGGGGGGATCGAGCGCCGACCCAAGAAATCCATGCCGACGTCCGAAGGTCTCTGTTTATACCGTTGCTTGATCTTTCTGGGAATGCATCGACACCTGATCGTTCGGTCATCGCCGAGGAGGGGCCCGACAGGCCCCCACACCCAGAGACGTGCGATTGTCAGCGATGTATGGCCGATCCCATCTCGATGTCGCCCCCCCTTTGAGTCAGTCCCTCCCCATCGCCTGCCCTCAGGCCTGAGAAGACTGCGAATCCTCTTGAAGCCCAACTCCGCTTCCAAGAGCTGCGGGCCCTCCGACGTCGAATTCGAGGTCGAGTCGCACGAACTTCTCGGCGGCGCGCACGGGGGGTGGCGCCAGGGAGGCGGCCTTCTGCGAAGTCCGGAGGCGGTCCAGAGGGACAGGCGGCTTCTCAGATGGACCGTGCCGACCCCGACCGGGACAAGATAGGCCAGGTCTCCCAGCGTGCCCTCTCCAGGTGGAGACGGTTGCTGCGACATCCGGAGGAGGCGTCGCCCGTCCCAACCTAGGTGCGGGAGGTCAGGTTGGTAGGTCGGCCAGCCCCAGCTTCCCAGAAGATGTCTTAGGTGGTGACCACACCGCGTGGTGAGTCAGTGGTCCAAGGACGTCTCGGGCGACGGGGGCCTGTCCCAGGACCGTGCGGTGACGGATTGTACGAGGTCTTTTGGGACTTCGAGGTCACCGCGCGGTCCGTCACCACACAGTTCTGGGGCTCGATTCCAAGAAGGCGGTTGGTCACCGGCAGAGTTCCGGTGCGCCATCAAAGATGGCGGTGAGCTTGCGGAGGGTTTGCATGTGATGCGATCTTCCCAATTCTACGAGAATGTCTTGCTCCTCCATCCCTTTCTCAGCCTCGGGTTTCTCCTCCTCCTCGCAGTCCTTTTCTATCTATCTCCTCCTCTTCCGTCTCTTCGACTTCCTTGCCCTCCGTAGGTTTCTGCTTTTGTTCGAAGATCTTCCTGCAACCTCCGCCGCCTTCACTCTTTCCTCCTTTGCCTTCTTTTCCTCTGCCTCTGTGAGGCCGTCTTTCGTCCTCCGGGGCCGCCTGTCTGGCTTTCCTTCGGCCTCTCGTGCTGGCCACCGAGGAGAGCGTGGACCCCCGCGTCATTCGCTTCACCCACGCCGACATCTCCCCGCGCTTTCGCAGCGGCGTATCCTTGGACGCCGCGATCGAGGGGATCCTCGCTGGCGAAATGGACATCGACTCCTTCGAGCCTAGCCTGTGCTGCATGTTCGAGGGAGCACCGTCTGTCTTGTGCGGGGAGGCTTGGAAGAGTTCGGAGGAGGAATGTACCGATGCCGCTTCTCGTCCTGGAGGGTACTCGTCGCTGCGGCTGGATGTTCGTCGAATTTGTAGTCAGAGCTTACCCCGGGAGAGGTCTGGGGAGCAGCGGCATCGGGCCCCGTTTTGCCTCCCAAAAAGTGGCTGAGTGGCCTGCTCTCCCGCTCTTTCCAGCCCTGCCCCAGCACCCCCAAAACAAATCAGCAATAAACACAGACACACACGCGTGAACAACAACAACAACAACAACAACAACAACAACCACAACAACAACAACAACAACAACAACACCAACACCAACAACAACACCAACACCAACACCAACAACAACAACAACCACAACCACAACAACAACAACAACACCAACAACAACAACAACACCAACACCAACACCAAAAACAACAAAAACAACAACAACAATAACAACATCAATCATTTTACCCGAACGCTCAGTGTTCTCACCAGTGCCAGGGTTTTCATGCGACGCGAGACAATACCCCCACTTCGTGGGGGGGCAGTTCAAGCTCTACCAAATATCCAAACGACTCTTCGCGACCACCCAAACCCAGCTTCCCGCCCTATGACGTTGGGACACTTCACTTCGTGGCGTGCGGACGACCGTGGCTACTACACTGGCGTGGGGTACACACCCACAGAACTTGGTCACTTATTCGGGGCGCGCGTGTGCCCAGCATCCTGCAATTGTGACATACAATACATGACACAGACAGACAGAGAGAGAGACAGAGAGCAGACAGAGAGAGAGACAGAGAGAGCGGAGTTGGTCACATTTTTGGGGCAAGTTCCTGAGATCGTCGTGTTTTTTGTTGGTCTTGCGCGCGCGAATGTCCACTTTACTTTTTTTCTGCAAGGGAATGAAATTGATTATGTTAGAACAAGAAAAAGTAGCTCGCGCGAGCTCATGTAACATAAATGTTGAAAAAACCATTGGTTTTGTGGGAGTCGGACAGCGCGCGCGGGATGAAATTTGGACATTTTTTTTTTGAAAAACCATTGGGTTTTTGATGTTTTTATGTTGAAATCGCTACGAAACCTAAGGTTCTGGAAGGATTTCGTCTTGCGCGCGCGAATGTCCACTTTACCTTATTTTTTGCAAGGGATTATTGAAATTTGATTATGTTAGAACAAGAAAAAGTAGCTCGCGCGAGCTCATGTAACATAAATGTTGAAAAACCATTGGTTTTGTGGGATTCGGACAGCGCGCGCGGAAGGACATTTTGACAATTTTTTCTTAAAAAACCATTGGGTTTTTGATGTTTTTATGTTAAAATCGTTACGAAACCTAAGGTTTTGGAAGGATTTCGTCTTGCGCGCACGAATGTCCACTTTACCTTATTTTTTGCAAGGGATTCTTGCAATTTGATCAAGTAAGAACAAGAATTTTCATTTTATAGTGTTTTTTGCAAGGGAAAACGGATTACAACAAAACAACCGGATCCGGTACTAATCCACTTTTCTGAAGCTTTCGCGAAAAAATGATGAAAATGTAGCTGCGGCCTAGGTTTTGGAGGGGGGTCGCGCACCAGGGGTCCCAACAATAATTATTCTTAAGAAGAAATAATGTTCAACAACAACAACAACAACAACAACATCAGCAACAACATCAACAACATCAACAACAACACCAACAGCAACAGCAACAACAACAACAAGCAACAGCAACAAAAACAACACCAACACCAACACCAAGGCCAACAACAGTTACAACAGTAACAATAACACCACCACCAACAACAACAACAGCAGAAACCTGGCCAGTTCCCCTCCGGCTGTCCCTGCTCCCAGCGATCTCGTCCTGGGTATTTCGGGGATCGCTGCTGTCCTTGGCAGTTCTCGCCGGCCCCCTGGCCACGTCTGCTTTCACTGAGTTCCCCGTCTCCATTTGCCGCAACATTTCTGCAGATTGCGGTGCCTTCTTATGTCCGATGCAGGCAGGGTCGACACAGACCCGATGCAGATTCGACATGGATTCGACGCGGATGGCGGCGCGACGGGTCAGACAAGTTCCCGAATATGCAACACAACCCATCGAGTTGGTGCGGTGGGGAGACGGGCGGCTGTTCAGCCTCTCGAACCGCCGGTTGTTTGTCTTCCGCGTGCTGGCGAACCTCGGCTTTCTGTCCGCGGTCGAGTGTATTCGGGGAGTGTCAGAGGTGGTCCTGGCCCCCCAGCATTTGCGCCATGCTTGGGCACGGCACTCGTGCCATCTGGGTCTCGTTGAGGGGCGCTCGGGAGCCCGCCCGGGCCTCCTGAAACAGCCAGGGCCCACTGGTGGATGGTCCATGCCGATCCGATCCGAGTCGATATCGGCTCTGGCTTGCTCGATCCAGCTCGTTTCTGATTTCCGAACTGTCCGATGCGGCCCGATGCTCCCATGCCGCTGTTGCGCATCCTGGCACAGCCGATCCGAATCGGTTTCGGTCTCGTGCCGATGCGGCCCGACTCGGTGCACGTTCCTATCCGATCCAATTGCGAAGGCCTTGCGGCCGGTGCCGCCGGCCCTGAAGATGAACACGCTGACCACGGCGAGGTAGGAGGGGGAGAAGCAGGACGAGCAGGGGGAGGAGCGGCATGAGGAGGAGGAGGGTGAGGAGGATGGGGAGGAGGAGGTGGAGGCAGAGGTTCAGGGGAGGGGGGGGGGATGGAGAGCCGACTCGATGCATGTTCCTATCCGATCCGATCTTGTCGATTCGATGCCGACCTCTCGTGCCTTCGTTGGCGGCTCGCTCACTTAGGGTGGCGCGAGGGTGGTGGGCTTGCAAGGAGAAGAGGGGGGAGTCTTGGAAGGTGGGGACCTGCTCAAGAGGCGCCTGGATGCTTCTGAAGACCTTTTACAAGTTGGGAGGGCCCTGAAGAGGCCCCCCACCTTCTCTGAAGGTCCCCCCTCGCGCCCCAGGTGACTGTGGATATGGATATATCGATTGGCCTTTGGCCTATCCCGCTACCGCGCCTTCGTTGCAGGTCAGAAGCAGGGCTCGACATGAATTGTGTTTTGGCGATTTCGTGGACCGTTTTTGTTCAGAGTTGTTTTGCCGCAGAGGCAGAACGAAAACGATAGGAGGGAAACCAAAAACAAAACAAACACGGTACATGCTGTTTAGGTCGAGCCTTGGTCAGAAGACTATGGGCCTGTCTTTAGGCTTTTTCGGGCCCGAAGAAAGGATGAAGATGCCACAGGCGCGCCGGGGGCCTTGGGAAATTTGAGAATGTGGGGTCTGGGCCCCTGAGGCTCAGGGGATTGAGCAAGGGACCTTAGGACACCCCCACTCGTGCCTCGCAGGCACGGTGGCGGATCTGGGCCCGATGGATAAATTCCAGCCTCGCAAATTTGGGAACCAGGAGCGGTTTTTCATCAGCGAAATTTGCGATGCCGCGCCCTTCCGGATTTGCTGTGTTCGCTCCCTCCTTGCCCTCCCTCGTCCCTCTGGAATTGCATTGGATAAGGAGCCATTCGATTTGCTATGCTTTCTCCCTCCTTGTCCCCCCCCCTCCCCATCGTGCTGTCACCTTCGGCGTGGCAGCCTGGGGCCTGGGGCCTGGGGTCTGGGGCACCTCTGGCAGCACCCCGCCTGTCGTCTACGATTTCGAGGCTCCTGCCGTGCGGCGGCTGTGGTCGAAGGGGCGCTCTGGTGGCGAGGCCGAGCCGCAGGACGCCGGGCTGGCCCAGAGCGTCCCGGAGCGCTCTGGCTGCGTGGCGCGCGCCAGGTGCGGGCAAGTTTCGTATCCATGTCCACTGCGTCCTAGACTTTCTCGGAGGGGGCACCAGAAGGCCGAGGCGCAGTGGACATGGATAAAAGCAAGCCTGTAGGTGCCAAATTCTTATCCGTACCAAATGTGCCTCGGGCGTCTGGGGAGGAGGAGGAGGAAGGGAGCCCGAAGCTCCAAGATGCTGTGGCTATGGGTGTACACCTTGTCCGCACCGGGGGGGTGGCACGAGGGGCCCAGGCCCTCCCACGTCGTGGAGAGACCGTTTTGTGTCGGCAGCGCCAGCGGTCGCGGACGCGGACGCGGGGGGCGAGTCCGGCGGCGCGCGTCGAGCGCGAGGTGCGAGACAGACGAGTGGAAAGTGATTGTTTTCTGACTCATTGTTTTGCCGATCGGCGCGGGCCCTCGCCCCCCCACCCCCCCTTGGAGTAGATCTTGGCTGCTGTTGGCGCCTGTTTCGAGCAGATGGAGTCCTTCTCCATTGGACACACTGTTACAAACAGTCGCATTCAGCAGAGGTCCAAAGCCAGACCCCCCCCCTCCCCCCCTTCCGCCCAATGTCGAACCGCCGAAAAAGGAAACGCTCACAAAAGCAGAAAACGGCCGCGGAGGAGGGAGGATGGTGCCCGACCGCTGAGAGTCGGCGGTTGAAGGGCGCGCAGGCGTCCTCTCGATGCTCCGCTGCTTGCTGCACCCGGGACGGTGTATAGCAAGCAGCGGAGCAGCGAGAGGACCATGCCGTCGAAGAAAACGCGACGGAGGGTTTTCCCCTGTTTTCGGCCTCGGGGGGTGCTTGCTGGGCCTCGGGGCTGTCAACAAAAACAGCTCGGGACGAAAAAAGTCAGTCCCCGGAAAGGGGTCCAAACTTTTTTGGTTCCACGCCGCCTTAGCCGAGAAGGAAAATGCACCCCGACCCCCATCACGGGCGTTTGCTAAGCAGGTCTGGGCGTTCACTAAACAGCCTTGCCATGTTCGTCGATTTCTTTAGGTGCGTTTGCTAAACGGCTTCGTTTGTCGGGGTGCTGATCGTGAGGGTGGTTCTTCTGTCCTCATACAGCCGGAGCGCTCTGGTTGGTGGCTCGCACCAGGAGGGTCGCGCGAAGGGGTGTTCCCTCAGATCCTTGCGTGGCGTGTTTTTTTTCGCGGAGGGCGATTTCGCCAGATGCCGGGCCAAGGGACCATCACAGGTCGAACCCGCTCGACAAAGGCGGCAGAATGATGGGGTCTATAAAGGGCCTTGTCGTCTTTCATGGCCACCCCTTTCGCGCGCCGCCCTCACTTGCGCACCCAATGTTCTATTCTTCAGACTCCGCTGGCTCCCAGAGGTTTTCCATTTTGTATTTCCATCCGGATGAATCCTCATCCTGCAGCGTCATCGGAGTCCCTCATTCGAGTCTGGACAGATACCGCAATCCCGCCCCGCGGAAACCCCTGTTTCGATTCGCTGGCCGACCTACCACCCTTATGTGGGGATGGCTGCAGTCTCCTTCGGATATCGCAGCGCGCACCCATTCCCACCGAAAGGGGGTGGGCCTGGAGAGCTGGCTTACCCTTTCCACATCGGCATTAATGTAGTTCTGACGATGGTTACCTTCATCCGAATTTGACATCCGAATTTGTCCTCATCCGGTTTTCCCCCTGTCTTGCTAGGACGACGCCCTCGCGGAGCTGGCCAGCCCAGGTGTCCCGAAGTTGGCGCGGTCGTTCGAGACGCGGTGCGGCGGGGTCTTCTCGGCCAGACGCGGGGGTGGCCCTTCGCCGGAGATCCCTCTGGTGCGGGCCCAGGGGTCCATCCTCCCCATATGGGGGGTTTCCCCGAAGGCCTTAGGCGGCCCGCCCTCCTCTCTCCTCCTCCTCTTCCTCCTCCCCCTCCTCCTCCTCCTCCTCCTCCTCCTCCTCCTCCTCCTCCTCCTCCTCTTCCTCCTTCCCTTCTCTGGTCGCCTACGGCCCCAGGGGATACCGCCCATCCCCTCTCGAAGATGCAAAGGCAGCACAAGCATACACTTTGGGAGGTCCTCGCGGATTTATTGGAACGTTGCTGGACCCGCCTGGTGGCGCTCCCAGCGCCGCCCCTGACGCGCTCCGCGCGACAGAGAGTGCAGTGTCCATCTTGCTGATTTGCGCCAGCAGGGGTCAAGTCACGGGGGTCGGCGCTAATTGGGGTCAGTCGGTCCCTTCTGGCTGACCCGTGTCTGCGAGCCACGCGGGGCCAATGTTTGTTCTCTTCCCTCCGCTGACCTGGGTCTTGGAGCTACTTCTTGGGCCCAGGTTCGCCACATGGCCCTGGCTGGCCCGGGAACGTGAGTTCCCAACCCATTGGATCGGCCCTTTCAAATGATCCCTCCAGAAATGGTTTTGCCTTCGACTTCTCCCGCGGAAGGCGGCGGAAGGAAAACGAGGGCCGCTCCGAGGGCGGAGGCCAGCAGAAATCAAGCATATGTTTTAGACTCAGGCTCTCTGGAAAGAGCCCAAAGGGGGCCAGAATAAATGGATGGGAGCGGGGGATCGCGCCGCATCGCCGATGCATCGGCGATACGGCGCGATCTGGAGCCCGTTGTTCTCCTTCCCGCTGTCGCAGATGCATCGCCGATGCATCTGTCGATGCGGCACGATGCTCCGACCCCATCGGCTATGTCCCCATGCTGGTGGCCTTCAACTGAGGTCCGATGACTGAGCACGATGCAATAGCAACGACTTGCACGCGTGGGCTAGTTCCCCGTGCCCTGCTGAAGCATGACGACGAGACCACGGCATGAACAGAAACCTTCGGAGGTCCGCGCGGACTTGTCGGATCGGCGCTGGAGCCCCCCCCTCCCAGGGGCGGCGACAGAGGTTGCCACCATGGAGGGTGTCCAGCACCGGTCGAAGAAATCCTCGTGGGCCCCCAACGAAAGGTCCATGCCATTTTCGTTTTATTCAATCGCTTCGCTCATTCCGCCGGCCAATTTGTAGCATCGCTGGCACTTGCTAGCGTGCTCAGGGGGGCATGTGGGCGGCCTCCCGGAGCCGCTTGGGGGCGTCTCTTAGGGGCCTTTTGGGGGCCTCCTGAGGGCCTCTTGGGGGATTCTTGGTGCCTCTTAGGGGTTCATGCCGTTCTGGTTTTGTTGCCCACGCTGCCCGCAACCCCCAACCCCCGCCCTGTCGCCGACCAGTCTGCTGGTCTGGCGAGGGCCTCCGCTGGCCGCGCCATCGCTGAGCGGTGCGGCCGGCAGGGGTACGGAAGGGATGGGCACGGAGACCGACAGCGTGTTTCTTGCGCGTTTTTAGCAGGATGGAGGGCTTCTCCGAAGGGCTTAGGCGACTCCTCCTCCTCCCCTCTCCTCCTCCCTCCTCTCCTCCTCTCCTCCCTCCTCCTCCTCCTCCGCCTCCTCCTCCTCCTCCTCCTCCTCCCTCCTCCTCCTCTCTCCTCCCTTATCCTCCTCCTCCTCCCTCCTCCTCCTCCTCCTCCTCCTCCTCCTCCCTCCTCCTCCTCCCTCCTCTCCTCCTCTCCTCCTCCTCCTCTTCCTCCCCCTCCTCCTCCTCCTCCTCCTCCTCGTCCTCCTCCTCCTTCTCCTCGGGTCGCCCACGGCCTCAGGGCAAACCCTGCAGAGCAGGACTCGCCGTCGGTGTCGCTGCAGGCGGTGTCCGTGTGAGACAGAAGGCCGCCCGCTCAACAGGGGCTGCTGTCGGTGTCGGGCAACATTTGCTGTATGGCATCGTGCCCAGTTCCCGAAGGAGATCGACTGCAGAATTGATTTTCCCCTGATTCGGCACCTTCGGTTTAGCTCACAACAGAAGACTTATAATGTATGTAGATCGGTTGAGTATTCTACATGTGTTTCGTAGGTTTGACGAAACAGAAATTTGGGGTAAATCGACTCTGTATCTGAATTTTGTCCACCACAGCACAAGGCGCGCACCAAAGGCCGCTCTTGCCCAGGGGCTGCCCTGGCGTGTGGCTGGTCTTCGTGCACGTGCGCAGCCGCCACGCCCATCTGCAGACGATCTCGGGGGCGCTGGGGGCGGCCACGCGGGCGGCGAACACCGAGGCGCGCGTTGGGACCGGCCTCCTCCTCGTCCTCTCCTTCATCTTCTTCTCCTCCCCCTCCTCCGAGGGGCAGTTCGAGCAGGCACCGCCATGCCCGAGAGCGCAGCCCCCAGCGCGCCGCGGGCGCGACGGCTCCATGGCCATGGCCGGCTGGAGTGTGCCCCCTTGCAGAGAAGAGGGGCACCTTGGCGTGAGCCCGGCCAGCAGGGGCAGGACACGCACGTCGACAAGAATGTGCCTCGTGGCAGGTCGGCAAGCTGCCTGGGACCTGTGCGTGTACATGCAGCCAGGGTGGGGGGTCCACTGATCTCAGCCGTGGCAATGGCAGGAAGACGGGCAGTGGCGGTCTCAAAGAGGACGGACCAACGCGCGGGCAGTGGCAGCTTCAAGGAAGCATCGATTGTGCGTGCGAGAAGACGGTCAGTGAACGCCACAGGAGAAAACGGATTGTGCGTGCGAGAAGGACGCGCAGTGGCAGTTTTAGGAAAACGGGCCAGGTTCGAACAGCTCGCGTGAGAAGCCCGGGCAGTGGCAGCAGGAGGCGTAGCAAAAGCCAGACGCCAACATGTATCGCGCCGTGCACGGCGCGTGCGAGAAGCGCGAGAAGCGAGCAAGGGCGGAGGCGTTGCTAGAGCCCATTATTGCGATCAGTTCGTGCGAGAAGGCCGGCGGGGCAGTGGCATCACGGGGCGACGCAAGAGCCAGACGCCATCGGCTACAGCGCCGCGCACAGCGCGTGCGGGGATCGAAAGAAACGAGCGTTGGTGGAGGCGAAGCTGTAGCTTATTTTCATGGCCTCCGCGTTCTCGCGGGCGAAAAGCGGCAGACTCCGGTGGAGGCAACCAGTTCGGACGAGAACGACCCACAGTGACAGCCTTAAGCAAGAACGGAGCTCTCGTGCGACATATATGGGCAGCGGTCGCTTCAAGAGGGAGCGCGCGAGAAGGACGAGGAGTGGCAGCTTCAAGTGGGCTTGGGCTGTTTGCACAAGTAGGACGGGCAGTGGCCGCGAGCGACAGGAGGACGCTGTGCGTGCGAGGAGGACGAGGTTCGGCAGGTTCCGGCGGGAGCGACCAGTCCGTGCGATAAGGACGAGCGTTGGCAGCCTCACGAAGGGGAGGACAAACCGTGCGAGACGGACGGGCAGTGACGGCTCCAATTGTGCGTGACGAGCGGGCGGTGGCAGCCAAGGGCGGGACGCAATCCAGACGCCAACTCCAGCGCGGGATTCAGCGTTGGCGATCAGTGCGAGAAGGTATTGTTGGCAGAGACGAAGCTAGAACCCAATATCGCAAATTACACCGAGGGGGGGGGGGCTCACATTTGGAGCGGAGCAGAGAGAGCCCGACGACATCAGCTACCAAACAAACTGGGAGCAACACGTGCGAGCAGTGCGGGAAATGTACGCAGCATGAGGCGAATATGAAGCCCAACGACGTCAGCTACAGCACAGAGGCCAGCACGTGGGACACGGACGGGCAGTGGCAGCCTGGAGCAGGCAGAGGACGCGAGACGGACGGGCAGTGGCGTCCTCAAGAGGACGCAAGCGAGGAAGACGGGCAGTGGCGGCCTGAGGCGAGGCGTAGGCCGGACGCCGTCAACTTCGGTGCTGGTCACATTGCGCGCGCACAGTGCGAGAAGGCAGTGTTGGAGGAGGCGAAGCTAGAGCCTGATATCGCTAGCTACACCGTGGGCCGCGTCTCGTCGCCTCTCGTCGGCAAGTCTGGACCACCAGTCACGAACGTGAAACAGCGGGTGAGGCCATGTTGGAGCACGACGTTTTCAGCTATTGTAAGGAAGTGGATCGGTTTCTCGCCGCGTGGCAGACCGCTGCCAACGCAGCCGCGACAGGCAAAATCCAAGGGTTCACGCGGAAGCTCCGACGGTTGGAGGCCACCAACAGAATCAGCACGTTCGAGAGACCCAAAGCAGAGCCACATCACCAGAAGTGGTTCGCAAAGAATTTCAACAAGGGCGGTACAGAGAGTTCCCGAAATTCCTCCTTCGCATTCGCCTCCTGCCCCTCCTTCGCCGCACCCTCCTTCTGGGGAGGGGCTTGGGGACCGATAGTGAGCTGCCGTTGTTTCATTTTGCCCTCTGCGAGTTGGGTGGGAGGACCAAGGTGTATGTGTATGGGTGTGAGTATGTGTATGTGTATGTGTATGTGTATGTGTATGTGTGTGCATGTGTGCATGTATGGATGCATGGATGTATGGATGTATGGATGTATGGATGTATGGATGCATGCATGTATGTATGTGTGTATGTGTGCATGTATGTATGTATGTATGTATGTATGTATGTATGTATGTATGTATGTATGTATGTATGTATGTATGTATCTACGTACGTACGTACGTACGTACGTATGCATGCATGCATGCATGCATGCATGCATGCATGCATGTATGTATGTATGTATGTATGTATGTATGTATGTATGTATGTATGTATGTATGTATGTATATATGTATGTATGTAGTATGTATGTATGTGTGTATGCATGTATGTATGTGTGCATGCATGCATGCATGCATGTATGTATGTATGTACGTACGTATGTATGTGTGTATGTTGTATGTATGTATGTGTGTGACAGTCCTGGTTGGCGTATGTCACCTTCCACCCGCACATTCGCGTTGTCACACATCGCCCCTTCCCGCCATCTAGGCCAGGATGGTTGTGGTTGCTGCCGGCTGCCAGACCTTAGGAAGTCTGTTCGAGTTTGGCTGGGTCCAGGCTCGCGCGCGCCCCGCTGCTTGCACTCGACTTTCTGCGCCCTGTCGCCGCGAGCGCATCCGCGACGCCAGAAAGGCGCGTGTGTGTGTGTGTGTGTGTGTGTGTGTGTGTGTGTGTGTCTGTGTGTGTTTTGCTTGTGTTTGGAAATCATGGCCATGACCACGGGATCTCCCGGATCTCGTGGTCCCCATCACCATTATTGTAATTGTTGTTTTTGTTACCTTTTTCTTATCCATCTTCTTCTTGGTATTATTTTGTCTCCCTGTGGGTGTGGTGTAGTGCTGTGGGTGTGGCGCGTGTGGCGTGGTATTGTGGTGCTCCAGGAGAGCTCCAGAGGCCGTCGTCGTCGCCGTCGCCGCCGTTCATTCGACTTCTCATTATTATTATGTTTCTTCTGCTTCTTCTGCTTCTATCGGTGCAATCCCTGGCCCTCCCCCCTTCGTCCGCGCGCGTGCTTCTGGCAATGATGCACCAAACCCTCTTCTCTTATGGCTCCACTGCAATTAAATCGGCGGGCCCGAGTTCGCCTCCCTCCGCCTATCGTCCCGACGACGACGACGACGACGACGACGACGACGGCGACGACGACGACGACGACGCCGACGACTACGACGCCGACGTCGACGATGACGACGACGACGTGGAGGTGCACGTCCGCGCCGCGGCGCCAAGCGGGCGCAATCTCCCGGACGACCCCGAGGCGCGCGCGTGCTTCGCGGAGATCGCGGAGTGCGAGGCCGGCTGGCAGCTGGAGCGGGCGCTGAGAGGGGGCCGGAACAAAAAGTGTCAGCGGGGCCGAGGATCAGCGGAGGAAAAGGTGCCGATGTTGCTGCCTTTGCTTCGTTTTTTCGTTTCACTGGGCTTCCATGCAGGCTCTCGTCTCCGCGGCTAGATTCGCATCGAAATCCTGGTCAGAAGCACCCCAGGAGAGGTCCAGGGAGCAGCGGTATCGATAACGTATCGTTTTCCTTGTTCCCCAAAGAAGGGAAAGGGTTTCCCAAAGAAGGGAAAGGGTTCCCCAAAGTGTCAGCAAGGCCAAGAATCAGAAGCCCGTTCCAGCTTGCAGGAGGCGAGCACGGTCGGCGATCCCAAGTGGTCCGATTCCGATCCGACGATTCGATCCAGCTCAGGCCCGCCATCCAAAGTGGTCTGGGCGGGCCTACCCTTCAGGGGCAACGATTCGGGGGGGATGTGCAGAGGGGGCGATGCACCGACCCGGAATCGCCCACTCATGGCCGATAAGGGCCCGATACGCCACCCCGCTTAGGACCGTGAGGGTTCGCTATCGGGTGCCTATCGCCGATCTGTCGGCGACGTATCACCGATTCCAGCTCGCTGTCTCCCCCCCCCTGAGCTGCCGCCCCCCCCCCCTGTCGTTCACCCCTGCTCCTCAGGCGCTGGATGCCCTCAGGGAGGCGCAGCTCCGCGGCCTGAGGGTGGCCTGGCCCGGGGCGGCCCGTGACAGGCCGAGCAGGAGGCGCCCGCGTGCGGACAGCGACGGAGAAAATGGGACCGGAGGCTTCTCGAGGTTTTCGAGGATTTCGTACGTTTCGTTGGCTCTCGGCGGTGTTCCAGCTTCGGGACGCCGTCCAGCGGCTGCGCCTCGCCGAGAGTGCTCCCGGGGGGGCGCGGATCGTCCTGAACGACCGCTGGAGAGCTGAGCAATGATCTGGAAGCCAGGAGCAACGCTAATCAGCGCGTGCCGGAGGAGATGCAGGAGCTCTTTCCTTCAGAATCGGAGATGGGCCAGTCGAGGCACGCCGGCGGCCCTCCCCGGCGTTTCCCGTTCTCTCTGTGCCTCACGGTTGGCTTTCTCGTCGCCGCGGCCAGGTCCGCGCTGAGCAGGGGGTCCAGACATGGACCCCGCGGGAGGGGTCTGGGGGGCCGATTTTCAGCGGATGGGCCTTCCCTTGATTCTTGTTCTGGCCGTGGCCAGTCCCCCGGGTAGTCGTTCCAGGCCTGGCGAGCGCATCCCACTTGATTCGGGCTCATGTCAGCCCCTGCCGGTTTTTGTTCCAGCCCTGGGCACTTCCACTTTCAGTGGATTTCCAACTTCCGTGTGCTTCAATCTTACGGGTTCAATCAAGCGCAGTATAACAGTTGCCACACGCATAGATGCAAGTTCTTGGAGATCCGCGAGGATGTCTTGGATCTGAACCCGAGCGAGGTCCCCCGTGTGCAAGCACGGTTTAGAGAATCAAGCTGCGTTGGCAATGTTGGCTTCGTCTCTTGCTTGCTGCTTCGCTTCTCCCCACCGGCCCATCCAGAACGGATCCCTGGGGGAGTAATCCAAGGAACCATTGCTAGAGCAACAAGGTTGGGTCGGCTTGACCGGCCCCCGCGATGCCCGCCTCGGGGGACTATCTCGGAGCGTCTTGGAGCTATCTCGGGGCTGTCCTGGTGCTCGCTTGGGCGCCTGTGGAGCCATGTATGGGCCCCCCTCGGTGCCATTTTGGGAACCTTTGGGGCTCTCTTGGGGCCTCCTGGATAAGCACGACTCCCTTTTTCTTGTTGGTTGTGCGCCCCCCGTTCGGAAAGCCTAGAAGTTGGCAGCATCCAGGTCGGGACTCCTCTCCGCTGGTGTGACTCAATAGGCACCCTGGATCAGGCTGGAAAACTGACTGAAGCAGGTCACGCGTACTTCCACGCTTGCAGTATCATATCCTTAGTTACCTTCGCGAGTGATGGCAGCCCAGACGGCCCCGTAGACCTTGTCCTTAAAGGTACCCTTGTCTCAGCACGCCGCCCGCGACTTCTCTCACGACATCTTCCAGTGCTAACTCGTCGGTGGTAGGGTATACGTACTCATCACCCTTGGTACCGGGCGGGTCCATCCCCACATGGGCTAGTGGAGAATCTGCTAACTACGGCGAGGAGTTTGTCGACAGTTTATATGCATGACAGGCAATGTGTGACGGCCATGGCGACTGCGCTGAATGTGCTCATTCTGGAAATCCGCTCCTTTGCCCCCTGGTTATTGCAACGCCAACCACTGATACGAGAAGGGAGCTACGGTCTCCACCATAAGTCCGACGACCAGCCCGACGGCCTACCCGACGGCCTTCCCGACGCCCTAGCCAGGAGCTTTCCCTACGCCGTTCCCCATGCCGAGCCCGACGCCAAGGGCTGGAGACGTCGCTGCCACTGGCGCCCCCCACCTTCAAGACGCACGTTCATTGCGAGCGGTTCGATTTAATGTCGCCGGGCAAGCATGTTCTGAGCGCTGAAGACGCATTGCTTCGTGTGCAGGCCGATGCGCGCCGATCGGGTGGACACTGCGCTGACATGTTCTTTCGAGAGGTGAACGTTACATGGTCTTGGGCAGAGGCCAAACAAGCTGGAGGGTATCAGCACAGGGTACTGTAAAGAGCAGCCGAGATCCCACAATGGGTTGCGTTTGGTGTTGTTGAGCTGGAAGTCGTTCATGGACATACAGCTTCGTATAGTTGACCGCGTATGATGATCCCCTCGGCGGCTTGCACGAGGCGTGCGGAATTTAATGCGGCGTCTGTGAGCCGAAGAGGTTCGTTGACGCTCCATGCCGTCGGTTGCAATTTCATCCTTCGCCTGCCAGCGCCAGCACTTCTTCTTTTTCTTCTCCAGCACTATTGCGCTAGTTGCCCTCCTCCTCCTCCAAGGGCAGGGCGACGCCCTCGTCGTGACGTGACAGTCTAGGCCTCCCAGATGGGGTCGGAGGATCGCGCCGCATCGCCGATGCACCGCCGACGCGGCTCGATGTCGAGCCTGATCTTCTCCACGCCGACGTCGCCGATGCATCGCCGATGCATCGCCGTTTCGGTGCAATCCTCCGACCCCATCTACTCGGACCCCATCGAGGAGGCGTCTGGACGTCTAGACGCGCCTCCCCGTTTCGAAACTGGGACAAAACACACGCCGCCCCCCCCCCCCCCCCCCGCGCGATGCCCGAGGCGCGCCGGGGCGGGGAGGCATCGCCGCGCGGGGGCGGGGGCGCCCGGCTGCGCCTTGGAGCGAGAGCTGCGGGGGTCTGCGGGCCCAGGGCCGCCCCCGCCCGCTGGCCGAGACACGGCAGCAGCACCCAAGGGCACAGCTCAGGGCCGCATTCGGTGGCCGCGGATGGTCGGCGGCACGCAGGGCGCGTTTTCGGGCCGTAGCCCGGGGTGCAACCCATGGGCCCAGGGTCGCGGCCGAAAGGCCACGGGCAATCAGCAAGACCCAATGGCGCATCTTTGGGCCGCAGCCCGTGGCCATAGCATATCTGTGGCATCCCATGGCGCAACACCTGTGGCCGCCACCCATGGCGCATCCTGTGGCCTCAACCTACGGCCACGACAAATCAGCGGCACCCGTAGCCAGGCGCAACCTCATGCACAACTGATGCTCAACCCACGGGCGCCACCGACAGCCGCAAAGAATCTGCAGCTCCCCAAGCCCGAGTCCACTGTGCCCGAGCGAGGACCCCCTGAGTGCAAGCACGGTTTGTGGATCCACGCTGCGTTGGTGATCAATGCATGCTGGCTCCGTTTCTTGATTTATTCTTCGCGAATCCCCACAGGCCCATCCAGAACGAGTCCTTGGGGGAGTAATCCAAGGCACAACTGCTAGAGCAACAAGGTTGGGTCGGCTTGACCAGCCCCCGCGATGCTCGCCTTGGGGGACCATCTCGGAGCTTCTTGGAGCTATCTCGGGGCTCTCCTGGTGCTCGCTTGGGCGCCTGTGGGCCCTGTTTGGGCCCCCCCGGTGCCATGTGGGGAACCTTTGGGGTTCTCTTGGGGCCCTACTGGATACTGTCGGCCACGCGCGAATCCCTTTTTCTTGTTGGTTGTGCCCCCCGTTCGGGGAAGCCTAGAAGCTGGCAGCATCCAGGTCGGGACCCCTCTCCGCCAGTGCAGCCCAAGAGAAACAGGCCCTCCTCCGCCGAGGCCCTTTGCCGCAAGCCTGTTTCAGCCCGGCCCGTTTCCGCCGCCACTTGTTTCCGCCCGACCAGTTTCCGCCCAGCCCTTTTCCGCCCAGCCCGCTTCCGCCTGGCCCGTTTTCGCCGGCCCGGTTCCGCTGGCCCGTTCCCGCCCGGCCCCGTTGCCAAGTCTCTGGCGGGGGCTCTCTCGCCTCGCGGATTGGGCCTTTTTTTCCGTCCGGCCCGTTTCCGCCCTGCCCGTTTTCGCCAGCCCGTTTCTGCTGGCCCGTTTCGGCTTCCGCCGTCGCCATGTCTCCAGCGGGGGCTCTCGTTGAAGCGTTGGGTTCTCAGGGTGTGTGTATGTGTGAGTGAGTGAGTGAGTCTTCAGATGTTGGTGTGTTCGGGCGTTTCGGTGTTCAGCGGGAGGGGTCGGTTTTCGGGCGTTGGGGTGTTAAAGTGTTGGGTGTTCGGGTGTCAGTGTGTCAGGGCTTGTGGGCGTTTGGCTGTTGGTGTATTAGGGCGGGTTTTTACGTTTGAGAGTCTTCGGATGTTGGGGTGTTCGGGCGTTTCGGTGTTCAGCGGGTGTTTCGGTTTTCGGCATTGGGGTGTTCAATTGATTGGTGTGTTGGTGTCAAAATGTCTGGGCGTGCGGGCGTTAGGGTATTCGGGTGTTGGGGTCTATGGTTTTTGCTGTTTTCGGTTGTTTGGAGGTCGGGCGTTATTGTGCTCGAGTTTTGGGGCGTCAGGGCGTTGGGGAGTTTCGGCGTTGGGCAGGTAGGCTGTTGCGGCGGTCGGGTCTTAGGGTATCAGGGCGATCTGGTTTTAGGGTGTCATGGGGAGGCGGTGTTTGGGTCTTCGGACGTTTACGTGTGTGTTCGGGTGTTAGGGTGTTCGGAGTTGTGTGTTCGGAGTCGTGTGTTCGGGGGTTTGTGAGTGCTAGGGTGTTGGTGTCTTAGGGTGTTCGTGGCTTCGGATGTTCGGGCGTTGGGGTGTTCGGGTGTTAGGTGTGGGGCTATTAGGGTCTGGGGTGTTCGGGCCTGAGGGTGTTCGGGTGTTCGAGGGTTCGGGAGGTCAGGTCTCACGGTGTCAGGGCGTTGGGGTGCTGCAGTGTTCGGACGATAGGGTGTCAGGGTGCTGGGGCGCTGGGGCGTCATAGGGCACGCGAATGGGGTGGTTGTTACGGTGTTGGTGTTCGGACGCTTGCGTTTTAGGGTGGTCATCGCGAGCAGGGTTTGTTGTCCGAGGTCTGCTGGGGGAAGACACAAAAACGTGATGGCTCCCCCAGCGGCTTGCGCGATGCATGCGGAATTCAATGTGGCGTCTGTGAACCAAAGCGGTCGTAGTTGCTCTATGCCGCCTATTGCACTTGCATCCTTAGATCCTTCGCCTGGCAGCATCAGTACTTGTTCAGAACTCTTACTTTACTTGCCCTCCTCCTGCCAAGTGCCGGGCGACGCTCTTGTCGTGACGGGACACGCCTCCATTCTGAGACTGGACGAAAAGGGCCTCCCCCCGCATGATGTCCGGGGCATCGGGGCAGGGAGGGAGCGCCGCGCGGCAGGAACCGCCTCGGGAAGGACGAGGATTGAGGACAAGTGAGTCGAACGAGCAGTAAAAAGGAAGCGGAAGAGTGCGACGTCGACAACGGCGAGACATGCCGCCTTTCTCCCCCACCCACATTCGCGCTGTCCGTTTTTTTCTAGCATGATACACGGTACTCCATCAGTGCGACATACGCGCATACATGGCCAATGCACATTTCGAAGTGATTGCGTAGATTCCTCATCGTGACTTGCGGGGTATGTTTAAATTAGTTGATCGTTTTGCTCACTCCGCGGGCGCATGCTGCACCGCTGTTGCTATGTGCTGTTGTGTTCGTTGCGAGCGACAAGGAGGAGGAGGTGGAGGTGGAGGAAGAGGAGGAGGAGAACAAGGGGGAGGAGAGGAAGAGCATGAGGAGGAGGAGGAGGAGGAGGAAGCATCACGATTTCTTCGTTGTAATCTACTACACACAGATGTGTTAAGAAGAACACGCTGCCAGCGCGTCGCCGCCCCGCAGGTGCAGACCTCTTTGGCTCTCGGCTGGCCAGCGCCCACGGGCCCGGATTGCGTCCACCGCCGATATGGATGTTTCTTGGGCCCCCGTCGGGCTTGTGTTGTAGTGGCTGGACATCCCGAGGTGGGAGGGGTACATGAAGGAGGGAGGGAGGGGTAGGAGGAGGAGGAGGAGGAGGAGGAGCAAAATAATGAGGAAGGGAAGGAGGAGGTGGATGCCCGTGACATTGAGGGGGTGTTCGGGCTCCTTGGTGTAGCCCCGTCTGCGCTGCGCGGTGGTCGCAAGTCGGGCTTATCCGCTGCGCGCAAGAGCTCATACCGCCCGGATGGCTATCAAGGGCTTGAAGAAGAAGGCCGCCCCCGCGAGCGTGGACGAGGACAAGTTAGGTTTGGTGAAGGACAGGGAGGAGGAGGAGGAGGAGGAGGAGGAGGAGGAGGAGGAGGAGGAGGAGGAGTAGACGGGGGAGCTGGAGGTAAGCATCGAGCTTGGGTCGGTGGGGGGGGGCACACTCGGCGGGGGAAGGGGCGTCGGAAGGAGGTGGCACTCTCGCTGCGCGCTGTCCAGATGGTTTTGCATTGCTCATTGCAGGATAACATACCCCCCTCCCGGGTAACGTCGCTGGGTTCGAAAAAATCCCCCAGGGCCCAAAAAAGTATGCGTGCTCATTGCGTTCATTGCATTGGGTTGTATTGCATGGCGTTGCGTTGCATCGCATTGGCTTGCGCGCGAGTTGCCCAGCTCCGCACTCATCCTTTAATCTCTTCTCTTCCTCTTCCTCGCCCATCCCTCTCATCTCTTCTCCTCGTCGTCCTCCCCCTCCTCATCCTTTCATCTTGTCCTGGTGGGGGATATGGAAGTTCTGAGGAGGGCGAGGTACGTCGAGTGATCCGAGGTTGGGATAAGGAGGTGATGTGAATGGAGGGATCCGAGGGTCGGATGTTGACGGTGGGGAGGTGCTGGTCACTCGTTAGACGTTTCCCTGGAACGCCTTGGGGGTCCTTGGGAGGTCCTGGTGCCCCCTGTTTCCGTATCTCCCCTCCCCTCTATGTGACGGACAGGCGGTAATAACCATTTTGGTTATAGGTGGCGTTGACGCGCCAGTGATTGTGTGTGGACTGAACATGTTTTTTGCCTTCCCTTGAGAAACAGTGTATCAGGCTTGTCGGCCTCCGCTCGCCCCATGCCGTCTTACAATGGTAGCCAGAGCGCAGACAAGGACCTGCCGGGTCAGGGGCGCGAAACTCAAGATAAGGGAGAGGGCACGCTCGAGGACAACACAGTTGCTGGCGACAGAGGCGCCCATGTTTCTGATCCGTGGGAGAATGTCTCAACGCCCCAGAAGGAGGGGACAGGCCCTGCCGACGGAGCCGCAGCCGGCTCTGCAGACGCAGGCATGGCATCCTCTTCGTGGGACGGCTGGAGAGGCACAGGTCTGATTGGCAGTGGTGGTCTGGTTCCGACTGCTGGGGGGACAATAAGTGGGCCAAGTCACAGTGGGAAGACGTCATTCGAGATTACTCCGCACCTTCCAGTCTGGCACGGGTTGGAAACTTTAGAGTTGTACCTTGCTAGCCTGGGCTCATGGAGCTCAGACCCGAGACCCGAGCAGGACAGGTCATCGAGACCTTTCCTTTCGAGCTTCAGGCCAGACTCAGATTCGTCATTTGTGCGACCTCCAGCGACGGTCTCACCAGGGTCATTGACCATCTCAAGCTATTGAAGGGCGAACGGCCTGGCGACAAGCAGAAAGAAACCCACAACGAAGCATTGTTTGACTATTGTATCCGCAAAATGAGAACTTGACGGGCTTCGTCATACGTCGGGACCAGCAGACCGCCGCTGCAGAGAGACTAGGGCTGACGTTGCCAGATACAGTGAAGGCGAGATACTACGAGGAAGGAGTTAACCTCACCCAGCTGATGCTGCTCAATCTCAGGACCCTGATGGCTGGCGAGAAGTCACTCGACGCCGTCAGACGGGCACTGCTTGAGCTGGACATCGCAGTGAGACCGACGTTTCCGAAGATGCAGGCGGTGGTTGCGCAGACCAAGGCCTTCGTAGCGAGCGTGCGTAAGCCATCGGGGTTTGAGGACGAACGTGGGGCTAGTGACGAGGGAGATTGTTTCGGATTTCCGAGGCCGATTTGACGAAGAAGAGCTCAACACGATACTCGTCGCCTTGGATGCCCGGGATCTGGACGAAGACCACATCGTGGATTTCGTCGCCGAGGTGACTCCCCGCGCGTCGTCGCACGTGGGCAGAACCCAGGCAGTTGAAGACGAACAAGAAGGTGGACCGCGACTTTTTTTGACCAGAACAAGGCGGGCACCACCAAGGGGGTCTCACGCGAGGACTTCACGAAACGATCTAGGTGTTCCACTTGCGGAGAACAGGCCTTTGGCGAGAGGATTGCCGACGGCCGCATCGTAGCAAATCAGACAGGACGCAGTTTGGGTCCAACCGTCAGGGGCCAGCCGGACAGAGCAGCGACAAGAAAACCTCGTCTCCGTCATTTTATTGTTAAGGCCTTACGGCCTGTGCCGTCGACCCTGGAGGCCTCGGCCCTCGACTGGGGTGGGAGAGGGCGGGCCACGCGGGGGTGGCATTCTGACCCGGGGCCCCCCTGGGACCCCTTTCCGGGACCCCCCCGCTTCGAGTAAACACCGACGCTGTCCAGATTGGCTGCCCCTCCGCGTCGCGGCCGCCCCCCACCCCCCCCCGCAGGGGGCCGCCCGCGCGCCCCCCCCCAAGAGTGGCAAGCGATCATGAGTTCCGGCGCCGTCCGCATCGTTCCCGGTCCAGAGGCTCAGTTGGTCAGACGCGGCTGCCCCGACCGGATATTGGGGTCGCGCATGGTTCGGAGGTTCAAGACCCAAGAGGGCTTTGGCGCGGCGCCGCAGGCCATGACACGATCCGGACGGGGGGGGCTGCATGTCTATGCCCCGACCCCGCAGGCAGAGAGTCTGATGCTCACCCTTCAAGCCATCGCTTCTTTTGAGTGGACACGTGAGGTGGCTGTCGCCAAGATAGCGTTCTGCAAGTCAGATCATTTGCGCCGCCCCCAGGGCGCGATTTTCTGTGAGCCTTGCCAAGGTCTCCAGCTGGCTCCAGAAGAGCTCATCGAGCTCGCGGCACCTGCCTACAGCTTGAATGATGCACCGTTGCTGCGGCGCCAGACCCTCGCACATTTCCTCGTCGGGGATGGTTTCCAGAAATCGCCGCTGGAGCCTTGTCTGTGGGCGAAACGGTCTTCCCAAGGAGGTCCCGGGGCCATCTGCTTGATCGAAGTTGACGATCGAAGTTTTTTGGCTTCTCATCCGGATGTGAAAAATGGTTTGAGAGAACATCTTTAAAGGGAGACTCAAGTTCGGTGAATGGAATACGGGGGAGTTCGATTTTGCGGGGCGGCATTTGAAGCAGGTGTCGGGGGGGAGATTTTAGAAAAGTGCGTGCTGGAGCAAGTTGGTCCCATGAGGCTCGAGAAGAGTAGGCGCGCGGACCCTGCTTCTCTTTTGACTGCTGAGGAGGCGAAGGGATGTCGTGCGATGGTGGCCCAGATTCAGAGGCTCGCGCGAGAAACCCGGCCAGATGTCGCGGAGGAGTTTCCTAGCAGTCTGTTGCTCTTCTTACTCCCACCGTTGAGGACGCGGTCGCTTGCGTCGAGATAGTGCGACATTTGACGGCGGCCGCTTCCCGACGCAACTAGCGTGACCAGTGGATCCCCTCTCCTTTATTTTCGTCATTTCCGACGCCAGAGGGCCCGGGTCCGCGAGGCGGAACGGGGCTCAGGGTGCTTTTCTCGCCATCGCGGCGGACGCTGAGATTCGGAAGCGTCGTCGTGCCAGGGCCTCTCTGCTGGCATGGAGATCCACTCGTTTAAAAAAAGGGTTTTGTCTTCTACCTCGTCGGCGGAGACTTTGGGTCTATCTGCCGCGCTCGCCGGTGCCCATTGGCTCCAACTAGTCTGGAGAGATCTTATCTTCGCCGATGTCAATCGACCCGATTGGCACTTGCGGCCCCGTTTTCTGTTGTCCTGAGCTCGCGGCGCACGTTAGCTCAAGACGTCTCCTCCCTTTCGTTGGTCGATGCGAAGCGTGTCATTATCAGACAGAACAGTGTGGGCTCGAAGCAGGATCGTCGCAAGGCGATCGATCGAGCCGTGGTCAGGGATGCCATGAGCGCCGCTGGTTATCAGATATGGTGGGTTCCACGCGGGCGGATGGCGGCCGACGCTCTCGCCGAGGCTGACCCCGGTCGTGGGAACCTCCGTTTTGACTGACTGTTTGCGCCGTGGGTCGATCTGTCTCATAGACGAGGACGGACACCTGAAGGAAAAAACCCTCAATAGTTCCCTGAAGTCTCGAACCAGGACGGCGTCAAGGAAGGGACTGTCGAGATAAGTGATGGAAAGTCATCGGGAGCCTCCAGTTGGCTATGGGTGG